CTGGGCTCTTGATTATGTTCTGTTGGTCTGTGTGTGTTTTTAATATGCTAATACCATACTGTTTTGATTACTATAGCTTTGTAATGATGTTTGAAATCAGGAAGTATGATACCTGTAGCTTTGTTCTTTCTCAGGATTGCTTTAGTTATTTGGGGTCTTCTTGGTTCCATATAAATTTAAGGATTGTTTTTCCTATTTCTGGGGAAAATGTCATTGAAATTTTGATAGTAATTAAAATCTGTAGATTGCTTTTGGTACTGTGGACATTTTGACAGTATTAATTCTTCCAATCCATGAACATAGGATGTTTGTGTCTTCTTTAATGCCTTTCATCAGTGTTTTATAGTTTTCAGTGTACAGATTTTTACCTCCTTGGTAAAATTTATTTCTAAGTATTATACTGTTTTTTATGCTATTGTAAATGGGAATGTTTTATTTCTTTTTCAGATAGTGTATGGAGATGTGACTGATTTCTGTATGTTGATTTTGTATCCTGCAACTTTACTGAATTTAATTCTAACAGTTTTTTGGTGGAGCCTTGAGGGTTTTCTATATATAAGATCATATCATTTGCAAATGGAAATAGTTTTACTTCTTCCTTTCTGAATTGTATGCCTTTTATTTCTTTTTCTTGCCTAATTGGCTCTGGCTAGTATTTCCAATACTGTGTTGAATAGGAATGGTTAGAGTGGGCACCCTTGTCTTGTTCCTGATCTTAGAGGGAAAGGGCTCACCCTTTCATCCTTGAGTATGCTGTTAGCTGTGGGCTTGTCATATGTGGCCTTTATCATGTTGAGGTATGTTCCTTCTATACCCCATTTTTGAGTTTTTATTATGAAAGGATGTTGAATTTTGTCATTGCCTTTTCTGCAGCATTTGAGATGATCATGTGATTTTTGTCTTTCATTCTCTTAATGTGGTATCACACTTACTGATTTGCATGTGTTGAAACATCTTTGCATCCCAGGGATAAATCCCACTTAAATCGTGGTGTATGTTCCTTTTAATATGCTGTTGAACTTGGTTTGCTGGTAATTTGCTGAGGACTTTTGCAAGTTTGTTCATCAGGGATACTGGCCTGTAGTTTTCTGTTCTTGTAGTGTCCTTATCTGGCTTTGTTATCAGGGTAATTTTGGCCAAACAATGGTAACTTTTCAAGCAATGAGTTTGGAAGTGTTCCTTCCTCTTCAATTTTTTGGTAAAAGTTTGAGAAGGATTGGTTATTCTTTAAATGTTTGGAGAAATTCACCAAGGAAACCATTTGGTCCTGGAATTTTCTTTTTGGGGTATTTTTTGATTACTGATTCAGTCTGCTTACTCATTATTGGTATATTCATATTTTCTATTTCTCCATGATTTTGTTTTGTTAGATTATATATTTCTAGGAATTTATCCAATTCTTCTAGGTTATCCAATTTGTTGACAGTTTGTTCATAGTAGTCTCTTGATGATCCTTTGTATCTGTGGTATCAGTTATAATGTCTCTTCTTTTGTTTCTCATTTTATTTATTTGAGTCTTCAGCCTTTTTTTCTCAGTGTAGCTAAAGTTTTGTCTATTTTGTTGAGTAGTTTTTTTTTTAAAAGAGCTCTTATTTTCATCTTTTCTGTGTTTTTTCTAGTCTCATTCATTTCTGTTCTGATCTTTGTTATTTCCTTTCTTCTGCTAACTTTAGGCTTAGTTTATTCTTCTTTTTCAAGTTTCAAGTTGAGGTATAAAATTAGGTTTATTTGAGATCTTGTTTCTTAATGTAGGCATTTATTCCTATAAACTTCCCTCTTAGAACTGCTTTTAGTGCATCTCATTCGTTTTCATGTGTTTTGTTTTCATTTTCATTTGTCTCAAGATGTTTTTAATTTGCCTTTTGATTTCTTTTGACCCATTGGTTGTTCAGTAGTGTATTGTTTAATTTCCACATCTTTGTGAATTTTTCCAGTTTTCTTCCTGTTACTGATTTCCAGTTTCATACTATTGGGGTCCAGAAAGATACTTGGTATGATTTCTGTCTTAAATTTGCTAAGACTTGTCTTGTGACCTATCATATAATCTATGTAGGAAATGTTCCATGTGGGTTTGAGAAGAGTGTGTATTCTGCTGTTAAATAAAATGTTATACATATGCCTGCTAGGTCCATTGGTCTAAAGTATAGTTCAAATCCAATGTTTCCTTCTTGATTTTTCTCTCAGTACAATCTAGCCATTGTTGAAAGTGAGATGTTGACATCTCCTACTATTATTGTATTCTCTGTTTCTCCCTTCATATCTATTAGTATTTGCTTAATACATTTAGATGCTCCAACATTATGTCCATATAATTTACAATTGTTATATCCTCTTTGAATTGACCCCTTGATCATTCTATAATGACCTTAATTGTCTCCCATTACAGGTTATGAGTTAAAGCCTGTTTTTTCTGATATAAGTAGCTATCCCTGCTCTTTTGGTTTCCACTTGTGTAAAATATCTTTTTCCATCCCTTTACTTTGAGCCTATGTGTGTCCTTAAAGCCGAGGTGAGTCTTGTAGGTAGCATATAGTTGGGTCTTGTTTTTTTTTCCATCCAGCTACTCTATGCCTTTTGATTAGAAAAATCAGTCCATCTACATTTGGAGTAATTATTGATAGGCAGGGACTTAGTAATGCCATCTTACTAGTTCTTTTTTTGTTGTTTTGTATTTCCCTTGTCCCTTTCTTCTCTTGCTGCCTTTCTTTGTGAATGATGGTTTTTCATAGTAGTATGCTTTCATCCCCTACTGTTCGTCTTTTGTTGTTTTGTACTTCCCTTGTCCCTTTCTCCTCTTGCTGCCTTTCTTTGTGAATGATGTTTTTCATAGTAGTATGCTTTCATCCCCTACTGTTCATCTTTTGTGTATCTAATCTAGGTTTTTGCTTTGTGGTTACCATGAACCTTACATAAAACATAGATATAATAGTTTTGGGACTTCCCCTGGTAGTGCAGTAGTTAAGAATCCACCTGCCAATGCAGGGGACACGGGTTCGACCCCTGGTCCAGGAAGATCCCACATGCCGCAGAGCAACTAAGCCCGTGTGCCACAACTACTGAGCCTGCACTCTAGAGCCTGCAAGCCACAACTACTGAGCCCACGTGCCACAACTACTGAAGCCCACGTGCCTAGAGCCCATGCTCCTCAACAAGAGAAGCCACCACAGTGAGAAGCCCACGCACCGCAACGAAGAGTAGCCCCCACTCACTGCAACTAGAGAAAGCCCGAGCGCAGCAGCAAAGACCCAATGCAGCCAAAAATAAATAAATAAATTTATTTTTTAGAAAAAGATATAATCATTTTATTTTAACACTGATAACAACTTAACTTTGCATCTGAAAAACTTTACTCTTTTATTCCCGTTCCATTTTATGTTTTTGATGTCACAGTTTACCTCTTTTTATATTGTGTATTCATTAACATTATTTTAGCTCTTATTTTTAAAAATTTTGTCCTTTAACCTTTATCATCCATGGATGATTGTTTAAGACAGTGTTCTCCTCGGGCTCTCAAACAGCTGCTGAGAGTGGCTACAGCTGGTTCACAGGCCACTGCAGGGTCCACAGCTGGGACTGAGGTCTGTATGCCTCCTCCCAGGTCCCTTTGCATATGAGGCTGGTTTCCACCGCTCCCATAAAGGCACTTTTCTCCATGAATGGATGCCAAATTATTGCAGGGGTGGGGGGTGCAGTGAGAGACATCTTATTTGGCCATCTTGCTGGCATCACTCCTTATGTTGCTATAATGGGCATTTTGGATGTTATATGTGGCAACTCTGGAAATCAGATTCTCACCCCTCCCCAGGGTTTGTTGTTATGATTTGTCGTTGTTTGTTTAGACTTTTCTGAACTGACTTTGTAATTCTTTGTTTTGTGTGGTCATTGAGGTCTCTATTCTATTAGCTTAGTGGTCAGCTAGTGATTTGCTTTAAACTCCTGGAACCGAAATATCTCCGTCTTTGCCGGTGGGGTCTGTGTGTATGTTGGTATCTTCAACGTGAATACTCACTGTCTTCAGTACTCAGCCAGGAAGTTTACAACTCTGACTTAGCCTTCACTTCTGGCTTGCATAGAGCCTGATGTCAGCCAGAGATGTGGGAACTTAGTGCTTTCTCAGGTCTTTTCTGAGAATGTGCCCAACCTTGGGCATACATGTGGCCTTCTAGATTCCCAGGAGTGTGTGGAAAGGGCTTTTCAAAGCCCTTATTCCCTAAAGCATTGCACGGCCCAGCCTTTCTTCCCAAGCTTTTCAGTTTGTCTGTTATTTACCCCAGTTGTATGCCTCTCCCAGGGGACTAATGCACTTACTCTTGAATGTTTTCAACAAGTGCCCACCCCACGCCTGGGAGAGTTCAGAATTAGGCAAAAATGATGGATATCTCAAACGCTGTTGAAAATGCAGGCTAGTTTTTAAGCAAGATTGTATGGCTGAGGTTTTGGATTTGGAAGTCAATAATAGTGTACAGTTGAGCCATTCTCCCCTATTACCTTAAGGGCTAGTACTTGTTGATGAGTTTTTTAGACTTTGTGGTGGCAGAGTACAGTAGTAGTAAGCAATGCAGAATCTTCTACTTTGCACTTTGGCTCATGTCAAAAAGTAAGAAACTGGAGAGCATGTAATTCCACCCTATGTGAGAGGTGAGCAGGCTGAGCATGGAAAGCACAGTACAGTACTGAAGACCCAATGGATCAAGACTGACCTTTCAGCAAGCCTGACTGCAGGCATATAAAATACATTTGCTTGCAGGAGCTGTTCATGTTCTCAGTAGCATCCTCACAGAATAATGAAATTGATCTCATTGGAGAAATCACCTTTAGGCAGACCATCTTGCCTTGAGTCTTACTGAAGTTCTTGCTTCTCTTTGCTCCCTCTTTTTGTTTGACTTTAACATTGGATGTCTTCTCAACACTGTGTTCCAGGCAGCCACATACTCATAAATATTTTATACACAAAGCTACCTTAGGCACTGTTTTAACACTGTCTTTTCTCTTTTTCCAAGAGCTGGGGTGGAAAGGAGAATGGCTTTGGACTTGCAGAATGTTGCAGAGACTTGCATATGATGGTAAGTGACTCTTTGGGATATGGGTGTCTTTTGACAGAGCTGTGCGTGATCTCTTTTTGAGCCTTACTTTACAATGAATATATGGTATTTAAAGTTGCCACTTCACATCAGGACTTTTGAGGAACCTGAGATCAATTGAGATATAGCATAGCTTTTCTAGAAATGCTTGGGCTCTCAATGTACTGGTGGTAAATGAAGAATCTCAGAAACAAAGTATATGATCATACCCATCTCTTGAGTAAGAAACTGCGTTTGGTGAGTCAGTTTGAAAGTGATGAAAAATCCCAGAAAGTACACTTCCTTGTACTTTTTCACTGGAACTATCAGAACTCTGGGCAGTCTGGCATGATTTAAGAATGGCTGCTTGGAGAACAGTTCTGCCATTTTGGTTATTGAGAACTTGTAGTGTTCTGTGTGTTTTCCATGTTTACCCCTCATGCCTGTCCTGCTCATACCTTTAACCCATGTTTAGACTATGAACTCAGGCCATCCTCCCCTCTGCTTTGATACGTTGCTGTAGAACCACAAAGCACAACTGGATTATTATGATACAATTCCATGCCAAGAAGCAGCTGTATTTTCCAACAGATGTACTGCTTCTTTTATCAATTTGTCATGTATAGGACAAATGGCTGCAGTGAAATTTAGTATATTCATCTTAACAAGCCTTTTTACCCCTAGGAGAATGGTTCTTTTTCTGGTCACAGAAAACTACAAATAGAACAAATTACTTTCCCACCTTAGCTGGTATACTTTCTTTAGTGTACATTATATGAGTGGATATTGGGTAATATGAGAGGTGAATGTTGTCTGTTTTAATAATCAAAGCTATATAAATCTTAAAGGGTATTCAGTTTGGAATTCTAATTCTGAGAAAATTATTTTTCACCTTAAAGTTTAGTTGATTAATTCTGAGACTCCTTATGTATATCAAGCTTGTTCTTGGCCACTTGAGCAAAACAGTATGATATACTCTACTAGGCTTGCGTGATGTCTGTTACCCATCTTGGTCTCAGCCTATATTAAGAAATCATGCATTCTTTTATTTATTGATATTTGGCATGTCATAGGACTTTGAAAACTTTGTGTGCTTTGAAAGGAAGCAATACATATACATGTTAAAAAATTCTAAGAGTATAAAGGGGTATACAATAATTCTCCATAGCCAGAGGCAACCACTGCTACCGGTTTCTTTCAAAGATACGCTTTAATGGGCATGCTCTTGCAGTCTTACTTTGTTTTTCATGTTGCTTTTCTAGAGTTAAATAGGATTTGTTGTCAGGGTCTGGTTTATATTGACTTGGTATCTACCTGTGCAGAAAAGCAGTTGGATATCATGAGAAATGATGTAGGATGGTATGGAAAGGAGTATTTAAAGAATTATGAAGGTAGGCCCATGAGGCATAGTTTGAATAAAATATTTCAAAAGGTGATTATATTCACTGAGATTTCCATAAGAGTGTTCTTTTCCATTCTTGAACTGGTACCTAGACCCTTGTATTTGTCCTTCATCCTTGGATTCTTATTAATTATTGGGGGCAGACTTGTCTCTCTTTTTCCTCTTGAGAATAGCTGCAGTCAAAATTGATCTCTTGAAAGAAAGAACAACTGATAACTTGAGTTATCAAGTAAGGAATATGAAAGCTTTTAGAGCTCTGGGCTCCACCCTCCTGATTCTGTGTTGTTACAAGACATCTGAGCTCTGCTAAAACAAGGAGTGAAGGCACTGTAGCTGCTGACGACACTGCTCATTCTGCTGTCACACTGAGTTGGACAAGTGGCTAAGTCCGAGGGAAGATTTAAGAGAAGATGGTATCTCATTCTTTCATGTGCTTTATACACAGAAATACCCACCCAGTGCAACTACACTACACTTTGAATTCTATGCAGACCCTGGGGCCGAGGTCAAAATCGAGAGAAGGGTGAGTCTCATTCACACTTGTTCTAATAAAGTCAGTAATCCGTAGCTGGGGTCAACTTTTCTAGGACTCCTCAGTAAAAAGAGGGAATGATGTTGAGCTACGTTGCTGCCCTTCCAAGCTAAATATATCCAGCAGCTTCTCAGGAATAAGTGTTCATTGTTTGCCCAGCTCTGATAGGTTTGAATCTTACTTACGTTGGAACTGCCAAAAGACAGGACTCTGTTTATGTGGCACTGTTAGGACTGGTGTATTTTTCTCAGTCTCAGTGGAGAATTCCACTGTTCAGTATAATAGTCTAGGTAGTGATCGGCTGAACTTTCTCTACTTAAGCCAGCCTGCAAGAAGTCTATGTATTGCTTACAAGGTCCTGCTTCAATTATCTGGACATTGCATATTCTTTGAGGAGATAGCAAAATTCACTTTGGTTTAGAAGTGGCCTAGTGAACAAGATCTTTCTTTTTTCCTTTCTACTTAAAATATATAATAATAATAAATAATCTTTCTAGATTATTGGTGCCTTGAGAACAGCTCTAATGCATATTTAGAAAGAAACCATTTACATGGATTCACTCTACTGTGAATACAGAGGCTGTAGGTATTAAGTCAATACAGGTTAAAAAGGGATAAGGAAGAACATGAAATGTATCTGGCTATGTCCGTTATATATTTAATCTACTGGTTTCAAAGAAGCTTTGCTGAAAATATATAAAATGAACATTTGGGGGGATTCTAAAGAATATTTTGATTTTTGAGAGCATTCAGTTGAGACTTCAACCTAGGGGGTGACATCTTGTTTTTCAGATAGCTCTTGCAGTCCTATGGCAGGGGGAAGCTAAGGTATACAGTGACTCCTAACAACTCTCCTATCTTTTTAATTTCAGACATCTAGTAACACACTACATTATATTCACATAGAGCAACTTGACAAGGTAAGAGGAATCTTTGACTATGGGTTAGTTCTTAACATTTGGTTCACTTTTTGTTCCTAACAGTTTTTTTTCTAATGTAGATTTCAGAAAGCCCTTCTGAAATCATGGAATCTCTTACCAAAATGTACAGCATTCCTAAGGATAAGCAGGTATGATATGTCTTAAAAATATCTAAAGGGTGTGGTTGTTATCCATATAGATCAGTGATATGTGCTGGGGCTGGGATATAGCATAGCAGAAAGAATGGAGTCAGATAGTGGGCAAATTAGCCTCCGTGGGCCTTAGTTTCCTCATCTTTTATGAGGCCAGTACTTAAACTGACTTCCTAGGTCCTGGTGAGACTTTGAGGAAAACAGAAGCAGCCTTATTCACCATGAATATCTAATAAGTGGTGGTAGCTCAACACTTTGGATACCAAAGAAGAAAACGTTTAGTTGTGTTATTTTTTTCTGCTCATTGTAATGGTGATCAAATATTTGATTTGATTGATAACAATCAGAACTCTTGCCAAATGTCAAGTAGCCCAGTGAGTAAGATTTAGCCCTTCCTCAGAAAGTATAGTCACCTTTTCCATTGGTTTCCTAATTTAGGTCTTATGTCTCTACAGATGCTGTTATTTACACACATACGGCTGGCCCATGGCTTTTCTAATCACAGGAAGCGATTGCAAGCTGTTCAGGCCAGGCTGCATGCAATATCTATATTAGGTAAGAGAATAACACCCTATAATTAACAGGCCCTGGTTAGGCAGTTTAGACTTGATTTCCTTTGAACTTCATCTGTCTTTGTTGCTATGGGGCTTATTGTAGTTACCTAGGTGGCAAGTTAAATTGTAAAATTGCCAGCATTCCTAGTGTTCACTGTATTCATCATCCTTGGGCTCCTTAATGTTGGATCAGAAGAGGATATGATTGACATATATCACATAGGTTTAGTCTTTATTTGGGTGGGGGGTTTTTGTTTTGGTTTTCTTAATGAGTGTTCAGATAGTCGTCTTCCTCTGGGCCCTATTTTTCCTCTTGCCATTTCATCTTCCTCTTCTTTGGGAGTATAATTTTGAAATTCATTAAATAGTACTGTGCATTTTACTTTTAACTGTAGGGTGGTATAGTGGAAAGCACACTGGTTTTGAAATCAGTCCTGGGCTTTCGCCCTGACTGCAGTTTATTAGGCACCTGTTTATCCTTTTGGCCTCAGCTTCCTCATTTAATAAGTATTTTGTAAGCTGATCTGAGGATTAAATGAAAACCTGTAAAGTACCTAGCACAGGCCAGGCACATAGGTATAAAATGGTAGCTCCTGTTAATATTACCATCCTTCATTATGTAATTACTTGTTTTTCTACTCTTTAAAACTATGAGTTCCTTGAAATGAAATTCCTACTATTCTGTTTGTATTCATACCTAGCATAACTTCTGGTATGTTAGTGGGTACCCAGGAAATGTTTGTTGAAAACTGAATGTGCTCAGATCCCATTAGTTTGCACTTCAGGAGACTGTTCAGTATTACCTTTGTGTGGGATTTATTGGAAGTAGATTACATGCATTCTCTCAAGTTTTACTACAGTGTCATACAAGTTTCTGATTTAGTCTGCAGTAGTCCATAAATCCTGTTCTTTACAGTTTGTATAAGTGTTTCTAGTGTAAAACAGAAACACATGAAGAGACTAAAATGGAAGTCCAGGGTGTAATAGAGTTATCAAGTAGTGATGTTATAAAATATTAATTCTTCATTCTCTTTTGATTCCTGAAAATCTTTGCCCAAGACAATATCATTAATCGGAGAATCTGTCAGTTTGGTGGGTATTTAGAGCTTATCACTGTGTTTGATCCAGTCCTCTAGAATTCAGTGATTCTGCCCTCCATTGCTGGTGGGAAGGGAGTCCTTCCCCAGAACCAGTAGGTGCCAAAAGGTTTGTCATTGGGCAGTGGCTTGACCACTGCCTTCTTGCCTAAAGTGTTTATTTCTCCTTTTGCAGTGTATTCCAACGCCTTGCAGGAGTCCGCAAACAGTATCTTGTATAATGGGTTGATAGAAGAGTTGGTAGATGTCCTTCAAATAACAGATAAGCAGCTTATGGTAAGTATTTATTAATATTTTCCTGTGTATATCAGGCTCATATGTATTTATCTGGTTTTTGGTTTTTCCCAGAGGTTAAAATGAACCCCAAGAGGGAAGCTTAGCCCTTTCCTCTTTGGATATTTCGCTGCAAATTTAACAAACGCAGGATTTTCAATGTTATTCTCAACAGACCTCCATCTATTCCAAGCAATTACCAGTAGAATAACTTAAATTTTAGAGTGGGTATTAGCAACTTGGTTCAGTCATCTACTTCTTATTTAACACATCCCATGTTTACTTTCTGTTTTCAAAGGAGATTAAAGCTGCTTCTTTACGAACATTAACATCAATTGTCCACCTGGAGAGAACTCCCAAGCTCAGCAGTATTATTGACTGTACTGGAACTGCCTCCTACCATGGATTTTTGCCTGTACTTGTGCGGAACTGTATCCAGGCCATGATTGGTAAAGTTTTGGTGGTTATTGTCCTAGCCACCAAGAGGAACCCTACCCTTTGCTTTGTCTGCCTTTGTTTAGCATCCTGCCAACTTAACATCAAATTCTGAGCTTGTTCTTTCTCTCCCTCTCTCCACTTCCCTTGTAGATCCTTCCATGGATCCATACCCTCACCAGTTTGCCACTGCTCTCTTCTCTTTTTTATATCATCTGGCCAGCTACGATGCTGGTGGCGAAGCCTTGGTCTCCTGTGGAATGATGGAAGCCTTATTGAAGGTGCTCTACTTATTTTAAAAAATACATTTGTGGGGAAATCAACTAAGAGGGTACAGAGTTGTGAATGGTTTGCAGTGAGAACAGTTAGCATAAGAAAGCTTAACCCAGAAAATGTTATACTTAATTTCTCAGGTTTGGCCTTCTAGTTATCTCATTAACAACTTTTAAGAGCAGCTATTTCCATTATTAAGAATTGCTCATAGTCCAGCATGATGTGATAGGAGGCCCTGGGTACTGATTAAGATATTGCCACATCTTATCGTGACCTTAGGCATGATAGGCTTTGCCATGTGCTGGGCACTGGGCACCAGCTCTTTTCTCCCTGAATATTTTATTTAATCCTGAAAGGTAATTTATGTCCCTATCACCTCAGGAGGTTGAGTCTCAGAAGTGATAGAGCTATCATTTGGCAAGCACCAAAAATCAAACATATATTTTTTTCCTTCTATACCATGTTGCCTCTCTGAAACCCTAGACTGCATGTTTCCAGAAGAGCACATTATTTACAGCTTTGTGTCTTTTCATTTGATTGGTTTTACCTTTTTCTCTCCCTAATAGGTCATAAAGTTTCTTGGTGATGAACAGGACCAGATAACATTTGTCACCAGAGCTGTCAGAGTGGTTGACCTCATCACCAATCTGGACATGGCAGCTTTTCAATCCCATAGTGGACTTTCTATCTTCATTTATAGACTTGAGGTATACAAGGAGCACTTCGGAGCACTTTGCATATACTTGTATGTAGTGAGAGCTGAGCCTAGGAACTATCCTTATAACCCTAAAGAGCCATTTTATCCCTCTATTGTTTTTAGAAACCAGTTCTGTAATCTGCCTGTGATATTCTTTTGTTATAAATATTTTTAATCTCCGTTATTTATGTAGGATTATCTTACTGTTTTCCCCTTGATCGTAGCATGAAGTGGATTTGTGCCGAAAAGAATGTCCTTTTGTGATCAAGCCAAAGATCCAGAGACCCAGTACTACACAAGAAGGAGAAGAAATGGAAACTGATATGGATGGTAATTAACAGTTACTATAAGTATTGGTTCATTATCTTCTTTTTCCCAATAAAGTGTGAGCTCCGTGAGATCAGGTTACTGTTTTGTTCACTGCTGTAATCTCCAGTAGTGCCTGATATGTATATCATAAGTGTTTAAATATGTGTTAGGGAAAGATAAGGAGAATGTAGACACTAAAATGGGACCCTGTGAAACTACCTGGCCATTTTGAGAAGGAAAGGGAGAGGTGAAAAAGTTGTTGGGTAGGGAACAAGTTTTAAATCATAAAATCTGAAAGATAGAAGACAAGGTATTCTTAATCTTGGGGTGCATCAGGTAAGTCCATTTTTAAAACTTCCCCCAGTTCGTAGCTCTTAATAGTACCAAAAATAAAAAACTTCCACAAAACAGCTTTCTTAGAATTTAATCTTATCTTGACCCAGGATGTCATTACATATATCTGTTATCATGCTAATAATAAAGGTATTAGAATTTTTATAATGCTTTCATTCTTTACACTAAATATACCTAAGTTTTCATTCCTTTTTTTCCCGAACACAATTAACTATGTGCATTGCTGCCCCTAGAAGACCCTTTACCCAATTTCTATCTCTAGTCTACAGTGGGTGACTTGGCATTTGAGGTAATGGGTGTGGTCATGTGGTCCTGAGTGCTGATTAAAATGTGACATCTCCTAAATGTGGTGGTGTAGAAGACAATTTAAAGACTCACTGTTCACTATAAATCAGTGGTTGTCAAACTTTAGTAAGCATAAGAATAAATTAAAGTGCTTGCTAAAATAAAGATTTAGTGCAATGCTTGATTTAGTAAGTAAGACCAGGAAATCTACATTTTTAAAAACTAATCTTGGTGATTATGATATACTCGTAGAGAAAATTGTATATTCACTGAAAAGCAGGTTAGAAAACCATGAGTTTGTGTTTCCTGTGTATAAGTAGGCACATGTATGTATGTTTGTGTATGTATAAAAAAGATTAGAAGAAAAATCCACAGTTGGTTGAATCCGCAGATGTGGAACCTCGGATATGTAGGGCTGACTATAAAGTTATATGCAGATTTTTGACTATATGGAGGGTTGGGGCCCCAACGTTTGTGTTGTTCAAAGGTCAACTGTATTTTCATTTTGGGTTTCAATTTTCTAATCCTTCTCCATTTTGATATCATTCATCTCACCTTACGGAAAAAAATTGTTCTCAAATAACCTTCTCTTTGGTGGTGCCTTTTATTCTAATTTCTTTATCATAACTTTTACTTTAGTTGCAGATGTGACTATGGAAAGTAGTCCCGGCTCATCCATCCCTATGGAGCACCGGCTGGATGTTGAATTAAGGGCATCAAGTTCCAGCAGCACTAGCATCTCCTCTGGCCCTGGCCCTCGTCCTGGTATGTAGACATAGAGAGACACAGCCGATAACAGTGATTGAATTACTAAACTAGTGAAACAAGGTGCTTTGGGGGAGCTTAAGCAGTACATTTGGAGGTTTGCTTCTTACGACTGTGACTGTTACTTTGCCATTCTGGTATTCATTTTCTCGTATTAACATTTATTTCATAGCATTTTATAATTTTCCAACTATTCATACTTTGATTATTTTATCAAAACATCCATGTTTGAGGGCAGATAATATTCAAAATAGTAACTGAGGATCAGAGTTAATCTTTTTACTTTGTAATTTTTCTTTTTTACTTTAGACTTTTAATTTTAATATAGGTTTTGTGTAGTCCTTGGTGATTTATTTTTTCCAGTTTTAAAGCTTAGGTAAATGTTCTTCCCAACATCCAGAGATTTCACTTCGCGTGTCTGCTAGTGTTGCTATAGTGCATGTGGATCTCCTAAAAATTTGTTTTATGTACCTGCTCATTGTACATAATGGTGAACCAGTATAATCCTCTTTCTCCCTTGCCAGGAGTCCAGTGTATTCCACAACGAGCCGCACTTCTGAAATCCATGTTGAATTTCCTCAAGAAGGCCATTCAAGACCCTGCTTTCTCAGATGGCATACGACATGGTATTTGATTCTAGATACTTTCTGGAGGGGTGTTTGACTCTCTCAAAAATTGGTCCTTCTCATACTTTTTAGGAAAAGGCCATGCCATTTTGAATAGCTTTTAGTCCTTTAGTGTCACTTTTCCTAGACCTAAGGATTGTTCGTTCAACTATTTAATAATGATTCATCTATTTTTTTCCCTTTTCCAGCTTTTGAATCTGTGTTCACTTCCAGCCTGCTACCCCACTCTGTCTCTCAGTGTCTGTATTCTTTTATTCTTTGACCTACTGTTAAAAGGTTATTGCATGGACAAGGAATAAATAATAGAATATTAGGAGGAGACAAGTGGAGGCCATTAAATTGGAATCAACATAGACTTTGCCACCGTGTGGTATATGTAATATATTGATCCATCATCCCCACCCATCAAACTACTACTGGTCTCATCATATTCTTCTTGATGTTTGCTTTTCTCTTAGTGATGGATGGTTCTCTGCCTACCTCTCTGAAACACATCATCAGCAATGCAGAATATTATGGCCCATCACTTTTTCTCCTAGGTAAGTGGAGTTGAATTTGTTCATACCAAGCTGGAATAACCTAGCAGTGTTCTCTGTGTGTTTTATATCCTTGTAGAATTTTACTATCCACATTTGTCCACTGTGTGATTATGTATCTTTCTAGTTGGTGATGAAATAGAGAAAGGTCAGAGTCCAGTTTCAAATAAATATCCATTTGCAGTGTATTGTGTCAGGCAAATGTGATAACTACTACACTACAGAACTCTTTTTTGCAGTGTATTGTGAATCATTTGTAATCAGTAGTATTATTGTACACTTGGATTTTTGTGCTACACTTACATTGCAGGTGTGATAGGAAACATGTCTTTATTCAATGGTTAGTCCCTAACCTTGGTCTAAAAAGCCCAATCAGAATGGTTTCCATTCTCAGAATTAAATGTCAGACCTGTAAGCTATAGTATAGAAAATTGTTTCTTACTGTAGAAAATTGTTTTGGAACCTGTGGGTACTTTGTATTTACTTATAGAAAATGTCCTTGCATTTTGACATCACCACTACTTTGAGTATTGCTGTTGTTAAAACCTCATATTTATTAACTGGCATTTATTGAGTGCCATACATATTCAGGACAATACACGAGATATATATGCTTCTAGAATTCTCCTTAAAACTGCAAAGGAATTTAGTGGGAGGTGTAGAAATAGAGAAGGCCTCCTTGTACCAGTAGCACACATATTTTAATACTTTGGGGTGTCTAGAGGGGGAAGTTTTGGCTACTACAGACTCAGATGCTTAACTACCTTGCCGAAGCAATTTAGGGGTTTTTTTGTTTATTAACTTTGTATCCTGTGACTCTGCTAAATGCTTTTTATTTTATTTTATTTTATTTTTTTGTTCCTGAACTCAGAGGGGAAAGCATTCAGTCAGTATTTCACCATTAAGTTTGAGGTTAGCCAAAAAAAAAAGTTTGAGGCTAGCAGAAGATTTTGTGTTGACTGTTTTGTTCCTCTTGATCAGGTTGAGGAAGTGTTCCCTTGTGTTACAGCAACTCCATTTTGACATGGAGAGGCTCCCTCCCAAGGTTAGTTTCAGGTGGAAAAACTCCTGACAGTAGTCCTTTGGTATGATCAAAAAAGGATTTGTTAACACAGTTGGAGAAGTCCCAGGTCAAGGGACAGGGAAGGATGGCTCTCTTTGGGAGAAAGCCCCAGAACAGAGAGAAGCAAGTGCACAGGCCTTTATTTATAAAGGGGAAGTTTAAAAGGCAGCAAGAGGATACATGTGCTTGTGGGTTGGGGTGGGGAGCAGGTGAGCCCTCTCAAGATGATGAAGGAAGCAGTAAATGAGACTTAGAGCATAAAAGCAAACGTCAGTGTAGGTCAAAATTCCTTCTTTAAAGTCTTGATTGATCCCTGGCGTTTGAATTAGCATAACAACCTCCCAGGTTCCCTGTAAATAAACTTGTATTTGAAAGGGACCAGATTTGCAAAGCCAGCCCAAAGTAATTAGTCCGGCAGTTATTTTAGCTCCACAAATAATAGTGTAGAGCCTTTCACCCCAGGCAGAAGGAGATGGCCAGGAAAAGAAATTAATGGGGGGTTGAGAATCTCTTGGAGTATTTTAGTAATATAATTGGCTGTTTTGGTTTGTTATTTTATTTGTTGAACTATTCTGGATATCTTTCCTATATTATTAACCCACATGCAACAGGAGGTCCCCTTCAAGACACAAGCTCCACTTCGAAATACCAGTAGGTAGTTTAATGTAATGTATTATCAATTGTCATAGCAAATAGATTGCTTTGTCCCTCATTAAGGGCTTCTAAGACCTGAGTTGTTTGGTTTATGTGGTCGGCCAGGAGTTATGCCATTATCTGGGTAGCCTCTATGAGATGAATCTGTTACAGAATTAAAAAGACCTAAACACCTTGTGTCTATTACACCAAAGCTGGTGATGAGGCCCAATATAATAGGTAAAAAGATGTCTCAGTGCTCCCTTTTGTAGCCAGTTGATGTTGCAGCCTAGGGGGAGGGCATGAAGGGGAAGTCAATGAGGAAGCACCTGGTGAGGTTGTGGTGTCCTGCTGCAACAATTCCATGCTAAAACCCACCAAATAAAGATTCTGACTCCTTTCATATCCTACCTCTGGCTCTTCTACCCCACTTTTATACCCAGTTGTGTCCCCTTTAACTTCCTCAACTGCCTTTTCTTCTCTCTCACCTCCTGTCTTAGCCTTGCCACATTTTAATCTGTTCAAGTCTGCATATGCTCTGTTCCTAGCCTAGCTGACACTAGTACCAACATGGTTATTGTGGACTCCTTAACTGGAGAGGGTGACAGGTAGTCAGTATGAATATTGAAGACCTCCAGAGCAGCAAGAGTTATTTGTATAAGTGGTTGCGTCTCCTGGGGCACCTGGTAACATTGCTGGAGGTTTAGTGCTCAAGTGACATTCTCTGTTACTATTACAAAAAATGTTGTCCATCAAGTTGAGGAAGAAGGAAATGTGGGGTCGTGATAGGGGAATAATAGAGAGTGAAGTATGAGACTGTCCGATGAGGGGAAATCAGCTCATGGGGCCATGGAGTTGTGATGAGTATAGCAGCAGATATGGGACCAGTTAACATTTGAGGGTGTCAGCATCGAGTCTGGGACTATCAATTATGCTGAAATCATTATCTAGGATGCTGGGTTGATGGGAGTCCTGGCCTAGCCCCAAAACTTCGATGGAAAGTTTTATACATTGGAGAAGTACTTAGAGAAGTGACTGAATATCAGTATTCCTTTGTCCCCAGGAGTTATAATGTAATTTCTTACAGGAAAACTGTGGACTGATTGAATACCCCAAACAAGTGAAGTCACAGCATAGACAAGAAAGGGCCCAAGGAGTTTGGCATTGAGCTGGAGTGGTAGAATCCCAGACCCAGGCCAGCCAAATGAGGCATTGCCAGGCCAACCAGAGTCTGGCATAATATTATGCTAGAATGTTGCATAATATTTTCAACCCTGTGGTCTCTGGGCCTTGGCATGCTAGAGGTGCCTATATATTATAGTGGCCACGGGCATTGTTATCCAGATTATGTAGTGGTTTCTCAGTCAGTATCTCCGTAATAGCATGGATTCAGAGCTAGCATCCTATTTAAGAGTGTTGGTACTGGGAACTAATTTAAGATCTTCCTTTCCTCTTTGGAAGAACCATAAAGTTGTAGACGTGGGGCCAGCCAGGCACCAAGACCTCCATTTCCTGCAAAGAGGGATCTCCAGTTAGTGAACCTTTAAAACTATTGGGTTAGCCAAAAAGTTACTTCAGTTTTTAAGTAAAAATAAAAGACACATTTTTCATTTTCACCAAGAACTTTATTGAACAATGTATTCACCCTTTTGTTCTACTACCTTCTGCCATTTTTCAGGCAACTTCATAATTCCATCTTCCCAAAACATTTTATCTTTTTGAGCAAAGAACTGTTCCAGGTGCCTTTTACGGTCTTCCAGAGAACTGAAATTTTTCCATTAACAGAATTTTGTAAAGACCAAAATAAATCCGAAGGTGCAGTATCTGGTGAATACGGCAGATGAATCAGAACCAGCCAAGCTGTAACAATTTTTGCCTGATCATCAAAGAAACATGCAGTCTTGCATTATCCTGATGGAAGATTATGCATTTTCTGTTGACTAATTCCGGATGCTTTTCGTCGAGTGCTGCTTTCAGTTGGTGTAATTGAGAGCAGTACTTGTTGGAATCAATCGTTTGGTTTTCCTGAAGGAGCTCATAATAGAAGACTCCCTTCCAACCCCACGATATACACAACATCACCTTCTTTGGATGAAGACCGGTCTTTGGTGTGGTTGGTGGTGGTTCATTTCGCTTACCCCACGATCTCTTCCGTTCCACGTTATTGTAAAATGTCTACTTTCATCGCCCGTCACAATTTGTTTAAAAACAGAACATTTTTGTTAGTTTAAGTAGAGAATCGCATGCAGAAATACAGTCAAGAATTGTTTTTTTGCTTAACTTATGTGGAACCCAAGCATCAAAGCGATTCACATAACCAAGCTGGTGCAAGTGAATGTCAGTGCTTGATTTGGATATTTTGAGTGTGTTGGCTATCTCCCGTGTGGTATAACATTGATTGTTCTCAATTAATGTCTCGATTTGATCTCTATCAACTTCAACTGGTCTACCCGACCATGGAGCATTCTCCAGCGAGAAATCTCCAGCATGAAACTTTGCAAACCACTTTTGACACGTTCAATCAGTCACGGCACCTTCTCCATAAACTGCACAAATCTTTTTTTGCATTTCAGTTGCGTTTTTACCTTTCTTGAAATAATAAAGCATAATATGCCGAAAACATTGCTTTTTTTCCTCCCATCTTCAATATTAAAATGGCTACACAAAAATTCACCAATTTTGATAAGGTTTTTTTTTTAATGCATGCTGATAGGACAGCTGTCACAATACAGTCTAACAAAATTGTTTCGAATTAAGTTAAAGACAGCTACGCTACTAGAGCCATCTTAACGGAAGAAAAACTGAACGAACTTTTTTGCCAACCCAATATATTGGGCAAGGTCTTTGGCAGAGACCTTTCTCGTGGCATACAGAATAGTCTGGGAGTGTGAGGGCCCTCAATTTCCAGTGAATCCCAGTCTGTTATCCACTCTCTGTGTAAGTGCCAGTCTATAGATTGCACCAGGATCAAAAAGGGAAGGGGTCTTTAAGTGAGGGGGGATTTTCTTCGGGATCATAGATTCATATATGGGGAATGTCCCCTTTTGTGGCCAGAAAAGGGAATGGAGAGGTCCTCATTGCGTTTCATTAGGATGCCCTATGAATTAAAAGGTTAAGAGTTCAGAATAAAGTGGGCAAAAGAGAGACCCATTTAGGAGACCATTGTCCATTTTGTAAATTTAAGAGAGCATCCTTGAGTAGGCCATTATGTTTCTCTGTTAGCCTGCTGTCTGCTAACAGTAAGACAGATTGGAAGCTCAAGTGATGCCTTGTTTTTACAGCCCATGTCCAGACTGAATGAGCAGTAAAATATGTACCCTCATCAGAGTCAGTGTTACCAGGAAGCCTAAAGGGAACTAACATTTTGTGAGGCTTATAATAATACTACTGTTAGCAGTAGCATGGCAGGAAGGATAAACCAAGATCAGGCCTGTCTTAACAATCAATCTTTGTTGAGGGCATAGCAATTTGCACCCGCATATTGAGGCAGTGGCTTAACAAAATGAATTTGCCAGTCAGAGAAGGGGTGTTCATTCCTTGGTATGGATTTCCATTGGCCATAATGCCAATGACAGGACAGGACACAGAGATCACAATGAGAGGCCATAGTTTGGGCTAAGGCCAGTGTCATGGGGATGCCATGGTGTTTAGCCCATATTTAAGGGTCTGGGGACTGCAGTGACTGGACATCTCATGGACCCACTGAACCAAGGACAGGTAGTAATATCTGAGCTTATTTAAAAAGTGTGAGCAAGTTAGTCAGCTGTGGCATTAAAATGAACTTCTTCTCTGGTGGCCTTAGCATGAGTTGAGACACGAAACTTCAATTGTAATATGCAAAGTATGAGCAGTAATATATCCCCAATGTGGAAGGCCCCATAGGGCATGATCCTGAATGGGATAATTACTTTGAGCCCATTGACCAGAAATAAACAGTGAGGCCATTAGCTACCACCCAGGAATCTATAAACATATGGAAAATGGACATAACCATTATTGAAGTGTGTTCTCCAGTGCCAAAATGACTACAGTCAGCTCTCAAGTTGAGTTGACTCTTAAGTCCCATCCTTTATCAAGAGTGACGCAGTCAAGGGGTGGAAAGCAGCAACTCTCCAGCAGGCTCTATCACGTGTGATTGCCATCCATAATATAAATGAAATCCCCTTTTTACTGGATTTTCTACTCAACAAAGGTATGTCCCTGTGCTTTTATGTCCTATTCCAAGTACCCTAAACAGTCTTGAAAACCAAGGTCACTTGGTTAGGTAAATTATCTGCAGGACAAAAGCCTGAGGCTCTAAATTCTTGGTGCTTTTTTCATATTCTGAATCTTAATTTTCTTACTCCTCTTTTTTTGTAATTGCTATCCTTATATTGTTTTTATCGACATCTAAACTTTTAAAATTTCTTGTTCTATCCTCTGCCAAAATGGACAAAATAAGACCGTTAGCTTGCCTTAACTTCACTTCTTTTTCAGCATTCTCTTTGTTTTCTTTTTAGTAACCCTTGGCTTTCCCTCTCTTCGATGCATTTTTTAATTTTGTTAGAGTACATCTTTGGGTAATTTTTAGGGTGTTATACTTACTTTAAGAAGTTTGTGGACGTTTCTCCACTGTCTTATGTTACATATTGTAAATAACCATGTTGTTAAACTGGTTCTTGTTCCTTTGTAGGTAACTTCATTTTCTCTTTACCCTTGAAGTTCACAAACTTTACCAAGATGTATTTATTTTATAAATTTACTTATTTTTTTGTTTTTTTGTGGGTTTTTTGGCGGGGGGGTTGGTTGGCTGTGTTGGGTCTTCATTGCTGTGTTCAGGCTTTCTCTAGTTGCAGCGAGCGGGAGCTCCTCTTCGTTGTGGTACGCAGGCTTCAGTAGCTGTGGCACACGGGCTTAGTTGCTCCGCGGCATGTGGGGTCTTCCCAGGCCAGGGATGCAACCCGTGTCCCCTGCATTGGCAGGCGGATTCTAAACCACTGCACCACCAGGGAAGTCCCTACCCAAGGACTCTTAACATTGCTGATGGTATTTTTAAATTGCTGAAAGGGCTTTTTAGAAGACATTTTGTCCATTTTGTGTCCATTATTAACCACTGCGCCAACAGGGAAGCCCTACCAGGATGTATTTAGTTCTATTTCTTTTCATTGTTCCCTCGTAGCACTTGGTTAGGCTCTTTTAAAAATCTAAATATTTTTTCCTGCTTCAGGGAAATTCCTTTGGTTCCTTTTAACTTACATGTTCTCTCCTGGAAACCCTATGGTTTAGCTAATTAGACTACCATATTGATCTCATGTCACTTACTTTCTGAGAGAATTTCTTTATAATCTTTCAAGATGCCTATTGCATTATCAAATCTTTAATTCCTTACAAATGTTTTTGATCGCCAACTATTACCTTATTTTTAAGAGACCCTTTGTCTTAGATTATTGCTGTTTTATGGGTTTTGTGGTTTCTAGAATTTGAATTTTTTTTTTTTTGTGGTACGCGGGCCTCTCACTGCTGCGGCCTCTCTCGTTGCGGAGCACAGGTTCCAGACGCGCAGGCTCAGCGGCCATGGCTAACGGGCCCAGCCGCTCCGCGGCATGTGGGATCCTCCCAGACCGGGGCACGAACCCGCGTCCCCTGCATCAGCAGGCGGACTCTCAACCACTGCGCCACCAGGGAAGCCCTAGAATTTGATTTTAATCATAAATTTTTTAAGAGTTATTTCTTTTAGGAGTTAGTTGCTTGGTTCCATCTGGAACTAATTGGTTTTAGTGTGTTCATTCGAATTCTTAATCATCTGTTAATTCTAAAAGAGGGCTTAAACTGTCCCCGTTGCACAGTAGCATTATGACATAGCATTATATTAAATAGTTAGACCTCCTTAAAATAACAGACTTGATGTCTTAGTAACCTCTAATAGAACACTAATTTTAGTTTATGAATACTCAATTTTAATAGCTCCTTAGAATTTAGACATTTGTACGAATGGAAGTCTATTGAAGGGTCTATCATACACCAATAGAAACCCAAAAAAAAGGACTTAAATTTTCCATAAGTTTATAGCTCATCAGAAATACCAAAGGCCATTGACAACTGTTGGTCCCAGTAATTGTCATATATCTGCCATTTCAATAGCATTTGATGAGAGGTGCTCTGTTGACCCATCATGAACTGAAAATCCTCTGGTTTCTTTTAGATCTCAGGCATCAGCAATTATGAGTTTGTTTTATACATGGTTTATGGATATTGTATGTGCATGTGCCTTCCTTGTCAGGTTTTAAAATGAAACTTTTAAAAATCTCATTAAATGAGTTAGGAAGCCTTGTTTTAATTGCTCCTAGAAGGTTTAATAACACTCACATCTAAAATTGTTGGCTTGGTTCCTTTCTGTTACTTGGTAGTATTTTTAAAAATTCTTGTAATGGTCTAGTCTGCTTTGCTGTCATTTCTTGATAGTCGATTTTTATGACATTTTCTTACAAAAGCATTGCACTTCATTGTTAACACGCAGTTTGTAAAATTTTATTTGTTCTGAATCCAGTTAAATCTCTTTTTTTCATTGCTAATATATATTGCTCTCTTTATTAGATTTCCCTTAAGTTTGTAAGCTTTTTCAGTCTTTTCAGAGGGCTGGTTATTGGTTTTAATTATTTGTGCATTTTGCTTGCAATTTCACTAAATTCTACTTTCTTCTGTTTTTTCTAGTTTCTCTTTTGTTTACTTTTTAATGAATGCATTAATGCTGTACTGTTTTCTCTTGCATAGAGTTTTTTCCATATTCTTTTTGCCATATTTGCATTAATAGTAGTCTTAAGGCACGTTTCTATATGCTGTCAAAAATTGGTCAGATTAATACGCAAGGACTCTTTTTTTTCCGCGGCATGTGGGATCTTCCCGGACCAGGGATCGAACCCGTGTCCCCTGCATTGGCAGGCGGATTCTAAACCACTGCACCACCAGGGAAGTCCCTACCCAAGGATTCTTAACATTGCTGATGGTATTTTTAAATTGCTGAAAGGGCTTTTTAGAAGACATTTTGTCCATTTTCATCAGTAAGTTTACATTCACTTTAACCCAGCAAACACACACCGCCATCTTACATTTTTTCCTGCTTAAGCAGACAAAAAAGGGTATATTTTTAGGTTTATCAATTCTCACCATTATGGACTGGTTTATATGCATGGTGGTACATGTATTTAGTAGAACAGTATGCAGCCATTCAAATTGAATGAGTTGTAGTGACGTGGGAAAGATAAAGGAGATTATATGGTGCCTATTACAATTGAAAAAACAAGCTAACCTCATTCTTATCAAAATATGCTCATAAAAATCTTGAAATTTTCAGGTTTTATTTATATATTTTTTTCTTAAATTTTATATATTTAAGGTGTACAACATAATCTGATATACATAGTGAAATGATTTCTACAGTCAAGCATTATCTCCTCACATAGTTTCCCTTTTTTGTGTGATGAGAGCACCTGAAATCTACTCTCTTAGCATATTTCCACTATTCATTACAATATTACTAACTATAACTGTCATGCCTATACATTGCCCCATAAAAATCTTGAAGAGTAGTCACTAAATTCCTAATGGTGATCCATCTCTGATGGGCAATACTAGAACTTTTACTAAGCTCATGCACGCGATTAAATTGTTGTACATTGAGCTCTGGGTTTGTTTTCTTTTTTGTTATTTTGTTTTGTTTGAGCCTTTGAAGTTTTGCTTTTAATACCTGTGAAGAATCTCTCGGTTTCTTATATCTTTCATCCTTTTTTTAGCTACTGAAGTGGTGACTGTGTTTGTATTTCAAGAACCATCACTGCTCTCCTCACTCCAGGACAATGGATTGACAGATGTCATGCTGCATGCACTGCTGATCAAAGACGTGAGACCTTTCTGCTGATCTGTAAAGAATGCTCCATGCATACCCCTTTCCATAAAATATACAGACATATACACACACACACTTGAAAAGCAGTCTTATGGCATGAAAATCCTATCTTTTGTTTTCTATATGTAGTATTGAAACTATTGGAGGGTGGGGGGAAGGGATAGTTAGGGAGTGTGGGATTGACATGTACACACTGCTGTATTTAAAATGGATAACCAATAAGGGCCTACTGTATAACAGGGAACTCTGCTCAATATTCTGTAACAACCTAAATGGGAAAAGAATTTGAAAAAGAATAGATACATGTATATGTATAACTGAATCACTTTGCTGTACACCTGCAAACTATCACAACACTGTTAATCAACTATACTCCAATGTAAAATTAAAAGTTTTTAAAAAAGAAAGAAACCTTTGGACCTGGTCATCAAGATCCCTTTGATCTCTCTGTGTAGTACCCCTGGCCAAAGTTTCCTAACTTTGTACCTGGACTCTTTCAGATGTCTTCAAGCTCACTTTATTTTCTCTCTAGGTTCCTGCTACCCGTGAAGTCCTTGGCTCCCTCCCAAATGTATTCAGTGCACTCTGCTTGAATGCCCGAGGTCTTCAGTCATTTGTACAGTGTCAGCCTTTTGAACGTCTCTTCAAAGTTCTTCTGTCTCCAGATTACCTCCCAGCCATGCGGAGGAGGAGGAGTTCTGATCCTCTAGGTAAGTAAGGATTTGCCTTAAAATAAATAATTGGTTGGCTTTTGTGCCAAGAGTTAGGTGATTATCAAGCCACCAGTTGGCAAGGAAACCCTTCCTTGACCTCACTTCATCATGTGTCTGGCTAGGTGTGCTAAGCTTAATGGGAATTATCACCATATAGTCTATTGCAGGGAGAAAAGAATACTTCATCCTTAACCTCTGCTTATAATATTTCCATGCTTCTCAACAGTTCACTGTTAAATGTACTGTTACAATGCTGGTGAGAAATAGGTCTTAGAAAACCAGCAGTAGATTTTCAGGTCCACCATCTAGTCTTCAGCAACAGGACATCCTGGTAATCTTCTGTTCTAATATCCAAGTCCCTAAGATAGTCACAAATTAATAGATTTCCTTCTCAGTGTATTTGAGACCAGATCATTGAGGTGTAGCAAGAAGGAAGGGTTCCAGAAAGAATCCAGTTTTCAAAAATGTGCTTTGTGCTTTGTCACCACTGTAGCATTTTAGCCACTACCATTCTTTACCGGGTCAGTCAGGGTTAATGGTTTATGGTTCTTTCGTTTCTCGTTCTCTCTTCACCCTACAATACTAGTTCAGACCTTGACAGTAGAGATTACTACGGTAGAATGTAGCATACATGGTTACTTTAAAATGTGTTTACTAGACTGATAAATTTCTTTCCTCCTCCCCAGTGATTTGGTTGCAGAGGTTGGTGTGAATTCATTTGAGAAAGCATGGCATTAGAAAATCACAACAACCAGCTCAGTTTCTTCTTTCCTCCTTATATTGGCACCAAAAAAAAAAATAGCCCAAGCTCTATTTTCTTCAGTCTTTCTAACAATTCCATTTTTGACTTTAAGGGGATACTGCCTCCAACCTCGGGAGTGCTGTTGATGAGCTCATGAGACATCAGCCAACCCTCAAAACAGATGCAACGACTGCGATCATCAAGGTGGGAAGTGATACGGCTGTGACCATGGGCATGAGAGAGCAGTGAAGTGGGAGTTTTTAGGAAAAGGCAAGACCTACTGGAGGTCATTTGGACTCTTAGACTGTGCCTATAAGAGGATTATTCTGCCTCATTTTCTCCAAGTCCTTGGGTTGGTCCTTTACCCCACCCCCCAAAAAAGTCACTTAAGTATTGCTTTCTTATACAAGATACTAAGAAGTTGCCAAGGCTTAGCTTCTGTTTGTAAAAGCATATTACCCTTTCTAATCTTTGTTGCTTGGTTTTTGTTTTGGGTTTTTTTTTTTTCCCACATTTACTAGCCCTGCCCGTTGCCTCTTAGGATTGTTGAAACTGGTAAATGAGTTACTGGTGGTTGGTGAATTAGAACATGGGGTCACATCAGTCAGTCAGTCACTTAACAGCCATGTGACCCTGAAGAAGTTAACTTCATAGGACTTCAGTTTCCTTGTTTGTAAAATGAAATTAATGACTATATTCCAGGAATAGTGTATATAAAGTGTTTTGGCACTTCTGTATATAGCACATAGAAAGTGCTCCAAAAATGTTAGTCATCTCCCCATTCCTTAATTACTAATAAGTAATCTTGTTTCCTTTGCCTTTCAGTTACTTGAAGAAATCTGTAACCTTGGAAGAGACCCTAAATACATCTGTCAGAAGCCATCAATCCAGAAGGCAGATGGCACTGCCACTGCTCCTCCCCCAAGATCTAATCATGCTGCAGAAGAGGCCTCTAGTGAGGATGAGGAGGAAGAGGAAGTACAGGCCATGCAGAGCTTTAATTCTACCCAGCAGAATGAAACTGAGCCTAATCAGCAGTAAGTGTTCACAAGACAGGTTCTCTAGCCTTGTGATCTTGAGCATGTTGTTTTCATCTGTAAAAATGAGGGAGTTGGATTAGATCCAGTTATAAGGTTCTTTCGGCCCTAAATGTCTGTAATTTATCTTTCTTTGACCCTTGTGTGTCGTTTGTGCTTTGGTGTTTGTTTTGGTTGCTTTAGCAAGCTTTCTTTTTTAAACGCTGTTCATGAAATTCAATCAGAATTCAGTATATCAAATTAAAAGGCCTTCTTCAGAGGATTTCCCTTTGTTGATTTGGTATTCCATGTCATTGGCTGCTTGATTGTTTTCCATAAGTGAGCATACATTAAACACATTGCACTTTTGAAGCCTATCTCCTAAGAAGTTCTTAAGAGTTACAGGGATTTGTTGTTGGTTGGTCTCTGTTTTTGTTTATTTCATCTGTTCATTCCAGATACATCAGAAGGCTTTGGAATGTACTATATGATTGTAACTAGGCACAGTAGATTTTCCTTCTATTTATTTGAGGTTTGTTCTACATGAAAATTGATTACCTGGATGGTGAGATGGGGATGGGGGGGTGAGCTTAAAGACTGCTGGTAGACCTGGTTCTTCGAGCTTACAGTGTTCGCATGCAAGGGATGAAAAGCAACTGCTGTAGCTGTAACTCTTAATCACCTTCATGCTCGAAATGGGCATGATCCCTCTGGACAGTCATGCATTCTTTAATAAGTGCTCTTTTGGTGTATATATAGAAGTAGTTCTGAGAAAAGCATGAGCATTTTATTTAGGTGTGGATTTGAATGGGTTTGAGCTCATCTCAAAGGGTGGCTTGGGACTTAAGAGAAGATTATGGTGGAGTAGACAGCAGAAGCGAAGGTCTAGAATCCAAAACAGGTATGCCCTCTTGGAACTCTAGAAAGTAATGAGCCTGTTGGTGTGAATTTTTTGGAGGGGAGGCATTACGTTTTAAGTATGTTGCTTTCTTGGGCAGATATATTTTCATTGTCTGAGAAGGCAACCCTGCCTTCATCTAGCACCATCTTCTGTTTTGATTAAAATGTTGTCTTTCTGAGAGGAGGTGTTTTAGAGTGCTGGTAGTAACATAGTGAGTTCAATTTGTATAAAACTGTCAAGCTGTTCACTTAAGTTTGTGCACCTTTTGCTTGTATGTTGTGTGTCAATAAAATGTTTACACGCGCACACACAAAAAATGTTCTCTTTCTGGAAAAGGAGGATACCCTAAAAGAAAGCAGGACTTTATTTGCAAAGGAGTCGGAATCTTAGTGCTTTTTTGCCACATCCTTGATTGTCAGCCATCCTGCTGGTATAGGATTCCTGTTCCTGGCTACAAACTAGGGATGGATTTCTTGAATGTTAGTAATGGTGGTGGTTTTGAGTCAAGCTGTGTACATTCATCTGCATATAACTTTTCTACCTGGATTTCTTAATACCTTTTGTCTAACATGCCCAGGTTTTAAGCTGCCTTGGTAAATTGACATTTTCTCAAGCCCTCATATGTCTTCACTCTCCATGCTTTTCTTGGAATATCATGAGTCACTGTATATTCTATTCATATTTATCCCCATCCCCAAATTATCTTATCTCCTTCTTTTCCATCTACCAAATTCCTACAAGTCTAGCTCAAATGTCTTACTCTTGTTTTTTTTTTTTAAGTTTATTTATTTATTATTTTGGGGTGTGTTGGGTCTTCGTTTCTGTGCGAGGGCTTTCTCTAGTTGCGGCGAGCGGAGGCCACTCTTCATCACGGTGCACGGGCCTCTCACTGTCGCAGCCTCTCTTGTTGCGGGGCACAGGCTCCAGATGCGCAGGCTCAGTAGTTGTGGCCCACGGGCCTAGTTGCCCTGCGGCATGTGGGATCTTCCCAGACCAGGGCTCGAACCCTTGTCCCCTGCATTGGCAGGCAGATTCTCAACCACTGCGCCACCAGGGAAGCCCAAATGTCTTATTCTTAAAAGAACTTTTTTTAACCTCTAAATAGGAAGTTGATCTTTTGTGTTCTCCCAACAGTTTTGTTAAAATCATTTATATATTCTAATGGTTTCCCCCACTAATCTATATAGTTCTCCAAGGCAGGAACAATGTCTCATTCAACAGTGTATCCCGATCACTTTGTTTATAGTAGGTAATCAGTTAATAACTGTTTATTTATTGAGTTGATAAAATGAATCAAGAGTATTAGATTAAGGAGTCCCTGAGTCTTAAATGCCAAGAGAGCTGGGCCTAATGAAACATGAACAAGAATGAAGAAATAGTTAAAATCTAGACCCACAACATTAATACTGTATCATAGTATTAGTCATATGTAGCTTCTAAGCTGCAAAGGACTCTAATAGTTGCTGTTCCGTGGTATTGATGTTCTTCTGCATGGTCTGGGTGTTCATTAGCACCTCATTCACATAACATATCTAAGAATCTCACAAATATTGACACATGTACTTTTCCACTTCTGCCACCTTCACAAGCTTCAATTGGGTCATTACATGGATTATTAGGGCTGGAAGGGAACACAAAAGACTATCTAAACTCAACCTACATTTTGAAAGCCACTACCTATTATAGGTAAAATTCTTTTATCTCCTTATCCCAGGTAGTTGTTATGGTGGGAGTTGCTATGTACTTTCTGCCAATATGGGAAAGTGGCTTTGAAAAATTTGCACTGTATGCCACCCCTCTCCCCAAAAGTCTTGTTTGTATCCTTCCCCCACCCAACGCAAAATTCTTCAATGGGACTCCCGAACAAATTCTGGTCTCCCATGCCCACATCTGTTTTCCAATGCCTTAAATACACGCATGAGTAATTTTTTCCATTAATTTTAATTGAGGTATAATTCCTATACAGTAAACGGTACAGATTTTAAGTTTCCTATTTCCCTACCCTAAAATGGGGCAGCTACCTATCTTATTTCTCTCATTCATAGAATAAGTTTGCCTGTTCTGGAACATCGTATAAATAGAATAAACGGAGTCTTATATGTATATCATATCTAATGTATGTACTTTCTTGTTTCTGGCTTTTGTTGCATAACGTATTTTTGAGATTCATCCATGTTGTGTCTATCAGTATGTTGTTTTTGTTGCTGAATAGTATTCCACTGTATGAATATACTACAGCATTTATCCACTCACCTGTTGACGAAGTTTTGAGTTTGTTTTTTTTTCCAGACTAAGACAGTGTTCTTTTCCCTTGGTTTTGTCCCCAAAATCAGCAGCTAGCATTGAATAAAATGATTGATTGTATTTGATCTTGAGACACGTGGTTTTGTGCTACAAATCTGCAATAAGGAAACTTAGGCATTACAGTCTACCCCAAATACATGGAGTTCTGTTGTACATTCAAAGGCATTCACCACAAGTAGTTCTAAATACTTGGCTTTTGGCCTCTTTCTTCTGCCTTCTGAATTGTTTGAGCTCAGCAAAACTGATATTGCTGGGGGTGAATATACTTGCCAGTAAGTAACCAAGGTTTTCAGTTGGGGCACCATGGTTTATTTTTGTGATTGATTCCATTTATTTTGCCTAACTTAACCACCTACCCTGAACAACTTGAAAGAAATGGGTTATATATATCCATGTGGTCTTTGGAACTTGAATAGCAACTGTCTGGGCTTTAAAGGCATCAAATGCAGAGAAGCAGTTGTTCCCTGAATCGTGGCCCACTGGGAGGGCTCTTTTGCCAAAGGCAGCTGTGTCTCCTCAGGAGTGGTAAGAGAGACCTGATTTTCCTCCCTCCACCCCACCCCACCCCCGAAAAACCCCAAAACATGAGATCTGTTGTCCTGTACCCGTGTACTATGACACTCAATTGGAATCCTTCTCCTCCACATCTGATTAAGGGCTCCAACATCATAAATACCCATGTAAAAGTGACTAGAGTTAAAATTAAGTTTGGGAATGTGTGTCTGTTTTGGAGAAGGCGGCGAGGCAGCAGTTTTTGATTTGACAGTTAAGATAAATTTGTTTCATTCTTCATGGAAATGCAGTCTTTCATTGTTTCAAAGATGCTGTGGGTCAAAGTTTCATATCAGGTTAGGATTAGAATGACTTTTCTTAAAACCAGTGGTAGGGGGATTTCTACTGAAGAAAGTTGATCATTTTTACTATTCCTATATGATGCCCGGAACCTAGATGCCTAGAAGCCTAGAAGCCAAAAAGGGGAGAAAAGTGGTTACTGAACAAGTTCATTCCTGGAGTTGATCATTTTTACTATTCCTATATGATGCCCGGAGCCTAGATGCCTAGAAGCCTAGAAGCCAAAAAGGGGAGAAAAGTGGTTACTGAACAAGTTCATTCCTGGAGTTTAAGAACCACTGTTGGTTTGTTTTCTCTCTTGTTCCCTCCAACTTCCATCTAGCAAATGAAGAAAGTACATTTCATGATGGTGCTTTGGGTCTTTACCATTATATTTGGCTTCTGCAAAGGGGCAGGTATCTCCCTGGGCTTAGAGCCATACCTGTACTTCTTAGCTGTAGAGATGGATCTCTTGAGTTCTTCCCAAGGAGGTGCAGTCAAGCTGGGGCGGATAATTGGTGTAAGTAGCAGGGAATGTGGCAGTGGTTCTGCGGAGGAAGTTTATAGTCAGGAAAGGGTTTGCAATCTTCCCATGGAATCATTTCACTCCTGGCTTATGTATAGGTCCTCCCTTTGTACAAAGTTCTTCCCCAGATTCTTCATTGAGTATGTTCACAACATCCTACCCAAGCCCTAGCTCGAGATATTTTAGCTCTAAAGCCATTCGTCATGCCTCTCCACTCTCTTTGCCTATTGCCTAGTCTCCGTTTTGCTACCACATATCCCCATGCCTGGCAAATCTTTGTTCACATTTTATCTTGCTCAGAGACGAAATTATTTCTTGCCAATTTTTCTGCCTTCTCCCCCTACCTCTCCCTTCTTCTATCTCTGCCCTTTTCTCCCAAATTTCTCCCAAGGGCCTATATCTAAAATGTTCTTATTCAACTCAAGTTTTGTCCTTTTCTAGGGTTTATCTTTTAGGTAGATTTTGTTTCATTTCAATATACTTTGTGGGGTTTTTCCCTCTGTTTATTTCTTACAAAAGCCAAGGTGTAGCCATTGGTCTAAAGGCTGCATTTTCTGCAGCTATGGCATTATTGCAGCCTTCTTGTCTTCAGTGCAACATTGAAGCATCTGAAGCAGAAGGACCTGATCACAATTTTTGGGTAGTTCAGGAAAAGGTTGTTAGAGAAGGAGACGTTGGGTGTTGCCTTCATCTTTGACCAACTTTGACTTTTCTGAATGGTTTACCAATCTAAGCATGGAATCTTGACCAAAATTAAATTCCATTTCCTGCTCTCTATAACATTAAATCTGATGCAAGAACACGGTAAGATGTTTATGTATTTGTTTCTTTGCCTAGCTCCTTTCTTCAAGCAAATATTTAAATAGTCTCTTAATTGAACATGCTTATTTTTAGTATTTTCATATTGATGAATTCCTCCTATAGTAGTTTGCCTAAAATAGAATAATTTCTTTTGAGATATGTATAAGTGCTGAGTTTGTGAAAGCTTGGTTTTTCCTTTTGTGCTCTCAACCTACTCAGGCTAGGAAAGCTACCTTCAGAATTGATTTCAGCTCTTTTCTTTTTCCTTCTTTTTTTTTTTTTCTGTGCTTTATACTAAAGGCTGTAAGTCTAACTGAGAGAAAGGACTAGAATTGCACGGTTTCCTTTTCTTCGCTTTGTTCTCTTGCATTGGTATTGTGAATTTCTGTGAAACTCACTCTTTTCTCCCTTAACAGGGTTGTTGGTACAGAGGAACGTATTCCTATTCCCCTCATGGATTACATCCTTAATGTGGTAAGATTAATGGTAGGGCAATCTGAGTAAAGGTGTGTGCTCTTCTGGAAAATGTGTGGGGTTACCAAATAGTCTGATGACTTGTGTTTATTTTCACTGGGGCCCTTAAAGTGCAGAGAGCAGCGGGGAAAGATGTGTAAACCTTGTTCTGTGTGATTTGCCAAAAATTAGCTAACAGTCCCTTTTTGAATATTCCCAATTTTCTGTTCATTCCCCTTTGGAATCCAAACAGGAGGAGAATGGGCTTTGTTAGGCCAGTCCAGTATTATGTTCTTTGAGTGCATCCCAGCATATTTTTTTCCCGTTACTTGCCATTTTTTTCCCATTAACTTCTCTTTTACCAATAATAATAATAATAATGTGGTGTTTTATTTAAACTTCTGTGTGTCTCACAGGAAAAAAGGAAGAGTTTGAATTTTCCCAGAGTTATTTACCTATAAGGGGAAGCCCATTTAGCATTTGTTCTAGCCCAGTAAGCACTTCCAGACTTCCAGAGATGGTTTCTCTTTTGCCTGTGTGTTTGTTTCCCGTATTTTACTTTCTTACCCTTACAAAATGCTCTGTTTAGTCTGAATCACTTCCAGAGTTCTAGGTTTCATTTGCATTATGAGCACATTTGAAGAAAAGTATCCGTGATGTTTGCTTCTAGGGGAGAGGCAACACATTATCTTTAAGAAGCACTAAATGAGCAAATTAAGAGATTAGACCTGATTCTGCCACTAATTCATGGTGTGGCCCTGAGCAAGTCATTTAACCTCTCTGTGCTTCTCAGATTATGTGACTTTAGGTGTGGCTGAAAAGATACATTGGGAAGAAGTTGTAATTCCTTATTTTCTGGATGTTTAGGGGTCATTTCATATACCTATTACTGCTTACCTGAGGTTTTGATATTCTAGAAAATACTGATTTCATGACTATAAGGTTACCCCTGTCCTAATTCCAAGCTGGCATTTTAGTTCCAAGTGTCAGGCTCTAACTTTTTTTTTTTTAATTTTTATTGCCTAGATGAAATTTGTGGAATCTATTCTGAGCAACAATACAACCGATGACCACTGCCAGGAATTTGTGAATCAGAAAGGACTCTTGCCTTTGGTTACCATTTTGGGTCTTCCCAATCTGCCCATTGACTTTCCCACATCTGCAGCCTGTCAGGCTGTTGCAGGTGTCTGCAAATCCATATTGGTAAGAAGCATCTGGCCGAATATTTTCATTTCTTTTAGAAATCAATTTTGCAATACTTCTGTATACGTGTTTTTACTGTGGTCTCCCCTTCAACTAAAACATAATGAAGAAATTGGCGGTTATGTACTGTAAGTGGATTTTGTGACTAATAATAGTGTGCCACGTTATTTCTCATTGAAAAGTCAAAGTGTTTGTTCTTTGTTCCTGAGTTTGGTATATAGTTCTAACATATGAGTTTTTTGGAAGGGAAAATAAATCTGCAAGAAAGCTTTGGAAGTGGGTTTTAACACAGTCTGGTTTGTTTAGCCATGTATTTTTTTTTCCTTTCTCAGGCTTGATAGTTGTGTATTTTAAGCATGATTGACCTATAGTTCATTGCTCAAATTTTGCCCCAAAATGAAGTTGCTTTATTTAAGTAGTGGTAAAAGAGATATAACATGATATTTACCGCTTTAACCATTTTTGAGTGTATAGTTTAATAGTGTTTAGTACATCACATTGTTGTGAAACCCATCTCCAGAACTCTCTTCCTCTTGTAAAACTGAAATTCTGCACCCATTAAACAACAACTTTCAATTCCCCTCTCCCTACCAGCCCCTGGTAACCACCATTCTACTTTCTGTCTGAATTTTGACTGTTCGAGGTATGTCATGTAAGTTGAATTCATGAAGTACTTGTCTTTCTATGACTGGCTTAATTTGCTTAGCATAATTTTCTCAAGATTCAAACATGTTGTAGCATATGTCAGAATTTTCCTTTTTTAAGGCTGAATAGTCCAGTGTATGTTTAAACTGCATTTTGTTTATCCATCCATTCATTCATTGATAGACATTTTGGTTGCTTCCACTTCTTATGAATAGTGCTGCTACGAACATGGGTGTGTTCTCCAGACCCTGCTTTTTTGTATGGTGAAAACACTTAAGATCTACTCTCTTAGCAAATTTCTAGTATATAATACAGTATTATTAATTATAGTCACCACGCTATACATTAGATCCCCAGAACTTATTCATCTTATAACTGAAAGTTTATACCCTTTGACCAACATCTCCGCAACTTCTCCCAGCCCCTGGCAACCACCGTTCTACTCTCTGGTTCTGAGTTTGACTTGAAAGTGAGATCATACTCAAGACTCTGCTTTCAGATATTTTGGTTATCTACCCAGAAGTAGGATTTGCTAGATCATTTGGTAGTTCTGTTTTTAATTTTTTGAGGAACTGCTATACTGTATTATTCACAACATCTCTACCATTTCACATTCCAACCAGCAAAGCACAAGGGTTGATTTCTCTGCGTCCTCACCAATACTTGTTATTTTCTAGTTTTTTCATACTAGCCAACCTAATGGGTGTGAAATGAGATCTCGTGGTTTTCGTTTGCATTTCTCTGTTGATTAGCGATGTTGAGCATCTTTTCATGTGCCTGTTGGCCATCTGTATGTCTTCTTTAGAAAAATGTCTGTTCAGGGCCTTTGCCCATCTTTTTTTTCCGGAACAGTACATTTTATTTGACAACAAACTCCCCAATTTGTCTCAGTTGTGACATATAGATGGCTTTAGATTGCTTTTTTGGTGGTCACCCATGCTGAACAAGATTTTTCAATCTTCCAAACAACCAAGGCTCAGAGATTCTGCGTGTCACTTCAGTTCACAAATCCAAGTGTGTCCTCCATTCATTGGAGCATTTTGGCATAGATTCCCTTTGAGGTAGAAGGGTAGAGATGAAGCCGTTCCTCCAAGTTTAAAGAAGTAAGGTGTTGCTGGCTGGTGCTTCTCAGAAGGCTGGCACATCTGTGTGTTTCTTGCCTAATTCTTCTCATTGGCCTGGAGCCTCTCTTCACTCTTCTCTAGATAGCCTGGCACTATTTTTTCCCCTCAATTGCCTGATGCTTTCCTTCTCTCATCAGCCTAGAGCTTCTGAGGAAAAGGGAGAGCCCATTTTTTAATAGGATTGTCTGTTTTTGTTGTTGAGTTGTAAGAATCCTTAATATATTTTGGATATTAATCCTTTATCAGATAAATTATTTGCAGATTATTTTCTCCCATTCCATGAGTTGCTTTTCACTCTGTTGATAGTGTCATTTGATGTGAAAAAAGGTTTTAATTTTGATGAAGTCCAGTTTGTTTTTTGTGGGGGGTTTTTTGTTGTTTAGTTTTTGCTTTTTACTTTTCATTGCCTGCGCTTTTCATGTCATACCTAAGAAATCACTGCCAAATCGGTGTCGTGCAGCTTTTATCCTATGGCTTTTTCTAGGTATTTTATAGTTTTAGCTCTTATATTTAGGTGTTTGATCTATTTTGAGTTAATTTTTTGTATGGTGTAAGGTAAGGTTCAGTTTCATTCTTTTGCATGTGGGTATCTAGTTTTCCCAACACTATTTGTTGAAAAGATTGTCCTTTCCCTATTGTACCCTTGTTTTGGCAACCTTGTCAAAAATCATTTGACCATATATGCAAGGGTTTATTTTGGGGCTCTCTCTTCTGTTGGTGTTGATGTCTATCTTTATGCCAGTACTACACTTTTGATTACTGTAGCTTTGTGGTAAGTTTGCAAATCTGGGGATGTGAGACCTCTAACTTTGTTCTCTTTTAAGATAGCTATATCTATTTGGGGTCCCTAGAGATTCTGTATGAATTTTAAGAGAGATATTTCTGTTTGTGCAAAAAAAAAGCCATTGGGATTTTTATAGGAATTGGATTAAATCTGTGAAGCTTATTTATTAGCTGAGTTGTGCAATGATAAGTAATTTCTGCTAAAAATCAGAAATCCAATTTCTTGCGGACTTGGAAAGATCCATAATTGTGACATCTGCATTTGATATTTTATTCTGCTTTCCTTTTTGCAAATATTTAATTAAGTGCTATTTATGAGAGGGGGGGGGAAGGGCTGCTCCATCTTTATCCTACCTGTAAGATACCGTGTGAGGGTGGATAGATTTATTTAAAGCCATAGGAAAAGCACATAAGTTCTCCTATCTCTGAATGGCAAGTGGTAGTGTTCACTGTCAAGATTTTTCTTCTTACTCAGAAAGAAATTGCAGGGGCCATATAATCCTTGAGTTGTCTCCAAAATAAAATGCCTAGCTGATGCCTATCCTAGAATTGTCTCTCTTATTGTGGTAAGAAAAAAACATTTGTAATAGTGGTTCATTTCCATGCTTTGGAACCTTGCCTAACATTGCTCCCTGTTGTGCAAAATTTGGATTTAATCTTAGAGCATGGAGTCCTTGCTGTAACAGTAGTCCAGTTTGGCCATCACAATCTTTTAAATTTGATTGGCCTACCACCTTTGAAAGCCTCTCATTCAAGAGAAGTAATGTGTTGCTCTAAAAGGCGTTTAGGTATGTCATACCTTTGTTCATGTTTTGGCTCCACCATTTACCAGGTGTAAGACCATGGCCAGGTCTGAAATTTGTGAGACTTGTCTTCCACTTCTTTCACTGTGACTATTAAGACATGCATATGAAGTTCATTGTACATTAATGCTTTAATTATTCTTCTTATTTCAGACACTGTCACATGAACCCAAAGTCCTTCAGGAGGGTCTCCTTCAGTTGGACTCCATTCTTTCCTCCTTGGAGCCCTTACACCGCCCAATAGAATCCCCTGGGGGCTCAGTGTTGTTGCGAGAACTGGCTTGTGCTGGCAATGTCGCTGATGCTACCCTCTCAGCTCAAGCCACACCTCTACTGCATGCGCTCACTGCTGCCCACGCCTACATCATGATGTTTGTTCATACTTGTAGAGTTGGACAGGTAAGAATTATGTTAGGTGTGAACATGTTGGCTTAAAGTCGGTAAAATACCTAGGGTATATACGTGGCATCTTAGTGTACTTAGAAGCAGTTCTACGTAGGCGAGCTGCTGAAAGAACAGTTTTAGGGTGAGTTCTTTTGGGTGGATGACTTAAGTTTATGCTTCAAGTTGCTGTCTAGTTTCACTTCCCCTTAGTACTTTTTTCATTGGAAGTTGGGTGACCATATAACTTGTTTTGTGAACTGGACCTTCTTGAGAGTGAAAGAGATTGAGATAAATACAGGTATTAATAGATCTGTAGCATCCATATAGGCCTTAGGGATGTATAGTCACCCCTTTTAGCAGACAAGGCTCAGTTGGGTGCTCATCTGACCGTATTACTTCCTAATATTTCTACAAATGCCTGTAGGCTTGATAATAAGATGGCAAGAAGGAAATTTGACCACAGAACATTTAAGTTAATGGTGATTAACAGATTGCTAAAGATTTCCTAAATATCAAACCTTATGTTTGCACTCCATGTGAGGATCCTCTTATGGTTCCAGAAAGTTGAAGTTTGGGGGTGGGGGGGTTTATTTGTTTTTTGAGTGCTCACAGTTTTGCCACCCTTAGTTGTCAAGTAATCAAGTCTAAAGATTATTGGTGTCATATTTTTAGCAGCACTGTTTTATGCTGTTGAGCTAGGAGTGTGTTCTTTGGATCAAATTAAGTGAAAAGCACAATTATAAACTATTTAGAAAATAATTAAATTACACAGAAAAGCTTTAGGGACTGATTTGATTGATTGATTGAAATAAAGAAATAAACAGGAAATAACAAGCCCCCTCACCATCTAAAAAAGTTAGTAAGCTGCCAATGAGTCTATAAAACTGTTTCTTCCATTTAGAAGAACAGAGTTGCCTGTGACTCCTGTTTTTCACTTTACAAAGAAATGAGAAGGGATGTTAGAGACATATTGTAAATATTGTACAAGAATATCCTCTGGAACTATGATCTCTTAAGTGTGGGAATTTTGATGAAGTACACAACTCTGAGAATAGTAAGGAAGGAAAAGTAGAATCCCTTATCCTTTGTAAATAACTAAAAGTTGATTTTGAATATAAATGTTCAGAGGGCATCCCAAAGATCACCTTTTTTACTTTGGCTACAGAGTGAAATTCGTTCCATCTCCGTAAACCAGTGGGGCTCTCAGTTGGGTCTGAGTGTTCTGAGCAAGCTGAGCCAGTTATACTGTTCCCTGGTGTGGGAAAGCACTGTCCTTCTCTCCCTGTGTACCCCAAACAGGTAAGGAAATGGTCATCTCTTTTACTATCTCTGTTGTCTTTCCTAACAGAAAAACTAAGCTTAGTGAGCCTGGGGTATTACTTTGGTCAAGGATAGAAAGGTAAAGAGTTCAGAGGCCTCCTTGTCTGTCTTAGTTCATTCGGGCTGCTATAACAAAATCCACAGATTGGGTCCTTATAAACAACAGAAGTTTATTGCTCAGAGTTCTGGAGGCTGGAAGTCTGCATGGTTGGGTGAGGGCTGTCTTCCACATTGCAGACTTCTCATTGTATCCTCACATGGCAAAAGGGACTAGGAATCTCTCTGGAGCCTCTTTTATAAGGCAGTAGTTCCATTCATGAGGGTTCTACTCTTAAGACTTAAGCACCTACCAAAGGCCTTACTACTAATACATCTCATCAGACATTAGGATTTCAGCATTTGAATTTTGAGGAGACACACATTTAACCAATAGCATTGTCCTTCCCACTTATAAGCCAAAGGACTTCCTTACAAGTGTGTCATCTTTGACCTGATATCTCAATTATGCTGTGTCAGCATGGTGGGTGTTTACAGTTTGGTCCTGTTAGCCAGATATAAAGAGTTGAGTTGGAAACCTGTTGAGTACTACCTCAGGAATTCCATCATTGCAGATGTTTTATTAGGTTAACTTACCTGCTATAGGAGGGGGATAGTGTCAGCCAAGCAGGTCAGAGACCAAGCACAACATTAAAAAGATGAGTTATCAGAGGTTTTTTTGCTCACTGTTTCTCTTCTTGCAGCCTGCCATCTGGGTGTGAATTTGGTCAGGCGGACATGCAGAAACTGGTTCCAAAGGATGAGAAGGCAGGTACGACCCAGGGCGGAAAAAGATCAGGTAACTCCAAGAAACTAAAATCCTAGCCATTAATTCTCTTAAGTTCTGTCTGTCTCTGTCTTTATAGGTCTATTGTGAAATTTTAGTAGGTCTATCATCTGTAGTCTTCAGTTTTTTCCATTCATTAATTTTTAATTATTTATTTTAAAATTAAACTATTTTCAGTTATTTTTTCTATTAAAAAAATACATACCCACAATGATAAAAATTAGAAAATGTAGTAGAAAGAAGAATCACCGATATTTATACCACAAAAAATATTTTGGAAGTATCTGCTAATCTTTTTCCCTGAAGGTATGTTTTATTAACATAGTTGTGATTATCTTAGACATAATATTTTACAGGTCTCTTTTCACTTAATATTAAGTGCCATGTAAAGGTACCATGAATTAACCATTCCCTGTTAAGTTTCTAGTGTACTATTTTGAAAACTGAACATCTTTATATGTAGTTTTTTTGAGAATGTAAGATTGATTCTTAGAAATTACAGTAACAAAGATTATGGTGGGTCTTTAATTTTTTGTATGCTTATTTTTCAGAAGCTTAATTTCTTACGTTAAAATGGTAAATGACTATTCTAAGTGGCTGTGGAGCACTTTAGAGCCACACTGTCCAATATGGTAGCCACCAGCCACGTGTAATGTGGCTATTTTACATTACTACTTGTAATGTGGCTAGTACAACTAAAAAACTGAATTTTCTTTCTTCTTTGCTCCCTCGCTCTCCCTCCTTCCTTCCTCCTGTCCTTGTGTGTGCTGCCTCACACTCCCCCCCACCTCCACCCACCACCCACCCCTGTCTGTCTGTCTGTCTGTCTCTCTTTCTCTCTCTCTCCCCTCTTAAGTGGAGGGTGTTATGGGTTGAATTGTGTGCCTGCCCCCAAAAATTATATGTTGGAATACTAACCCCCAGCACCTCATAATGTGACCTTATTTGGAAATAGGGTTGTTGAAGATGTAGTTAAGATGAAGTCATAGGTTGGATGGAGAAAACTGAATTTTTAATTTTTATTAATTTTTGTTGTTGTGTTTGGGGTTTTTGTTTGTTTTTTGCGGTACGCGGGCGTCTCACTGCTGTGGCCTCTCCCATTGCGGAGCACAGGCTCCGGGTGCGCAGGCTCAGCGGCCATGGCTCACGGGCCCAGCCGCTCCACGGTATGTGGGATCTTCCCGGACCAGGGCACGAACCCATGTCCCCTGCATCGGTAGGTGGACTCTCAACCACTGCGCCACCAGGGAAGCCCCTATTAATTTAAATACAACAACTATTAACTCTATTCAGTTGTTGGAGGACTTTTAAGTATGTTTGGAAAACTTGGGTATGTGAATCTTTTTTTCCCCAGTAAATCATATGAAATATAAATATAGATCGATTAATGAAAACTTAATGTCTGTATTGAGATGCTCTGTAAGCATAACAATGATACCTGTTTTTTTAAATACTTAATATAAAAATGTATGCTCAGTCATTTTTATATTTGATTACATGTTAAAATAATTTTTATTATATTGGGTTAAATGTATTAAAAATTATAGCTGTTTTTTACTTTTTAAGTGGTTACTAGAGATTTTTTAATTACATATGTGGTTCACATTATATTTCTCTTGGACAGTGCCGTTTTATAAAATAGCTTTTATATTATATTACAATAGAAGTTGCAAAATGCAGTAAGCAGAAATTATATTGGTTGGGCCAAAGAGTGCCTTCGTTTTTTGTTTTAAGTAAAAATACAAGACACATTTTTCATTTTCACCAAGAACTTTTTTGAACAACGTATTCACCCTTTTGTTCCACTACCTTCTGCCATTTTTCATGCAACTTCATAATTCCATCTTCCCAAAACTTTTTATCTCTTTGAGCAAAGAACTTGTTCCAGGTGCCTTTTACAGTCTTCCAGGGAATTGAAATTTTTTCCATTAAGAGGATTTTGTAAAGACCGAAATAAATGGAAATCCGAAGGTGCAATGTCTGGTGAATACGGCAGATGAATCAGAACTTCCCAGCCAAGCTGTAACAGCTTTTACCTGGTCATCAAAGAAACATATGGTCTTGGATTACGTTGATGGAAGATTATGCGTTTTCTGTTGACTAATTCTGGACACTTTTCGTCGAGTGCCGCTTTCAGTTGATCTAATTGGGAGGAATACTTGTTGGAATCAATCATTTGGTTTTCCAGAAGGAGCTCATAATAGAGCACTCCCTTCCAGTCCCACCATATACACATCACCTTCTTTGGATGAAGACCGGTATTTGGTGTGGTTGGTGGTGGTTCATTTCGCTTGCCCCCACGATCTCTTCCATCCCACATTATTGTACAATATCCACTTTCATCACCCGTCACAATTTGTTTAAAAATGGAACATTTTTGTTACGTTTAAGTAGAGAATCGCATGCAGAAATACAGTCAAGAATTGTTTTTTTCGCTTAACTTACGTGGAACCCAAACATCAAAGCGATTCACATAACCAGGCTGGTGCAAATGAATGTCAGTGCTTGATTTGGATATTTTGAGTATGTTGGCTATCTCCCGCGTGGTATAACGTTGATTGTTCTCAATTAATATCTTGGTTTGATCGCTGTCAACTTCAACTGGTCTGCCCGACAGTGGAGCATCATCCAGTGAGAAATCTCCAACATGAAACTTTGCAAACCACTTTTGACACGTTCAATCAGTCACAGCACCTTCTCCATACACCGCACAAATCGTTTTGTGCATTTCAGTTGCGTTTTTACCTTTCTTGAAATAATAAAGCATAATATGCTGAAAATGTTGCTTTTTCCCCCTCCCATCTTCAGTATTAAAATGGCTACACAGAAATTCACCAATTTTGATAAGTCTTTTTTTAAATGTGTGCTGATATGACAGCTGTCACATAAAAATCTAACAAAATTGTTTTGAAGGAAGTTAAAGACAACTAAGTGCTACTGGAGGCATCTTATGGGAAAAAACGAACGAACCTTTTGGCCCACTCAATACAATCTTCTGACCGTAATGCAGCAAACCTAAAATTAATAAAAGTAGCTATTCTAGAAAGTTTTTTTCTCCTATACTCTGCATCAAGGAGAAAATGAATTTGATAAACTATTAAGAAAACAGTGAAGATAATTCTGTGTATAAAAACCTATCACAGAGCTAAACCCATGCACATATGGTCACCTTATCTTTGATAAAGGAGGCAAGAATATACAATGGAGAAAAGACAGTCTCTTCAATAAGTGGTGCTGGGAAAACTGGATAGCTACATGGAGAAGAACGGAATTAGAACACTCCCTAAGACCATACACAAAAATAAACTCAAAATGGATTAAAGACCTAAATGAAAGGCCAGACACTATAAAACTCTTAGAGGAAAACATAGGCAGAACACTCTATGACATAAATCACAGCAAGATCCTTTTTGACCCCACCTCCTATGAGAAATGGAAATAAAAACAAAAATAACCAAATGGGACCTAATGAAACTTAAAAGCTTTTGCATAGCAAAGGAGAACCATAAACAAGATGAAAAGACAACCCTCAGAATGGGAGAAAATATTTGCAAACGAAGCAACTGACAAAGAATTGATCTCCAAAATATACACGCAGCTCATGCAGCTCAATATCCAGAAAACAAATAACCCAATCCAAAAATGGGCAGAAGACCTAAATAGATATTTTTCCAAAGAAGATACACAGATTGCCAACAAACACATGAAAGAATGCTCATTAATCATTAGAGAAATGCAAATCAAAATTACAATGAGGTATCACCTCATACCAGTCAGAATGGCCATCATCAGAAAGTCTACAAACAGGGCTTCCCTGGTGGCGCAGTGGTTGAGAGTCCGCCTGCCGATGCAGGGGACGTGGGTTCGTGCCCCCGTCCGGGAAGATCCCACATGCCACGGAGCGGCTGGGCCCGTGAGCCATGGCCACTGAGCCTGCGCGTCCGGAGCCTGTGCTCCGCAACGGGAGAGGCCGCAACAGTGAGAGGCCCGCGTACCACAAAAAAAAAAAAAAAAATCTACAAACAATAAATGCTGGAGAGGGCGTGGAGAAAAGGGAACCCTCTTGCAATGTTGGTGGGAATGTAAACTGATACAGCCACTATGGAGAACAGTATGGAGGTTCCTTAAAAAACTAAAAATAGAACTACCATATGACCCAGCAATCCTACTATTGGGCATATACCTTGAGAAAACCATAATTCAAAAAGAGTCACGTACCACAGTGTTCATTGCAGCTCTATTTACAATAGCCAGGACATGGAAGCAACCTAAGTGTCCATCGACAGATGAATGGATAAAGAAGATGTGGCACATATATACAATGGAATATTACTCAGCCATGAAAAGAAATGAAACTGAGTTATTTGTAGTGAGGTGGATGGACCTAGAGACTGTCATACAGAGTGAAGTAAGTCAGAAAGAGCAAAACAAATACCGTATGCTAACACATATATATAGAATCTAAAAAAAAAATGGTCTTGAAGAACCTAGGGACAGGACAGGAATAAAGACACTGACGTAGAGAATGGGCTTGAGGACACGGGGAGGGGGAAGGGTAAGCTGGGATGAACTGAGAGAGCGGCATTGACATATACGCACTACCAAATAGATAGCTAGTGGGAAGTAGCCACATAGCACAGGGAGATCAGCTCGGTGCTTTGTGACCACCTAGAGGGGTGGGATAGGGAGGGTGGGAGGGAGGGAGACACAAGAGGGAAGAGATATGGGAACATATGTATATGTATAACTGATTCACTTTGTTATAAAGCAGAAACTTACACACCATTGTAAAGCAATTATACTCCAATAAAGATGTTAAAAAAAAGGTATGCTTAAAAATTGTATTGAGATTGCTAAAGATAGAGAAAATGATAAGGAACTAATAAAAAAAGCAGACATAAGTTTTGAAACAACAAATAAGGATTATATGACAGCTAATTATTGTATTGTGGAGGAAGGGGACAGAATTAATAAAATATACATGAAAATGGATGAAACCAAATGTTAGAATCTCAAATTTTGTCAGAGTCTTAAATATACCAACTTTAAGTCAAGGAAAGAATAAAATAATTTACTAAAAACCAAGAACGAAATTAGACTCGCAGTCAAAGAATTGCCTTGCATAACAATTTAGATACATTTTTTCCCAGCAGTTTCTTTCACACATTTAACAAAGGTGTCTTCATTTCCATAGGTTTTCCAGAGTATTACACAGAAAATTTGATGTGTTTTATAGTTTGCCTAATGCTGATTCTTAGGTCAAGAGCACACGCCCCCCCCCAGAAAAGACTCATCTCACATTCATACAAAAATCTTAAATTCTAGGAAATATATTTCTCCAGTGGTAATCTGTGATGTCCAAATTGAGTTTATTAATGAGCTCTAAAATTCTAGCGGGGTGTGTGCCTTGAGTGCATGGGGTCACCACACACACTGTAGTTTATGTGAAGTTTCTGGGTCATGCAGTGTGTCTACAGTCTTCCAAGGTACCCCTTGAAAGTTAAGAGTTTTAACATGCTCTCATTGGAAGATGTCAGTGTTAGCTACTTAGAAGGACTCCAGGGAAAGAAGTACAGTTTTGTGGTTTTTTCTTTTCAGATTTAGGAAGTTGTGGACACTTAAAGAGTAACAAGCACTATAGATAGCTCTTTCTTCGGACTCTTCAGAACAAGGAACCAGGTGAGTGCTGGCTCAACATGGTCTTATTGCTCCCCTCTTATGTCTACAGATGGGGAACAGGATGGAACCACTGGAAGTATGGATGCTTCTACCCAGGGCTTGTTGGAAGGCATTGGGCTTGATGGTGACACGCTGGCTCCTATGGAGACAGATGAACCTACTGCTTCAGACTCTAAGGGCAAATCTAAAATTACACCTGCCATGGCTGCCAGAATCAAGCAAATCAAGCCGTTATTGTCAGGTGAGTGATTCTCTTCCTTCTGCTCCCTGGTATGGCTGTATTGTTTCCTTTAAGGAAGTTTTAAACTTGGTGGCTCATTTTCAGGTGTCTGCCATGTGACAGGCTCTGTACTAACTGTTAGGGATACAGAGATGAGAGAATCGCTTTCTGAAAGCTAAGTCTACCCCTCCTTTTCTTCCTGCTCACTCTTCTACTACTGCAAATAACCTCTGCTCCTACCGTTTCCCTGAAATGTCTCACCAAGGTATCTGTAACCTCCTTGTTGCTAAGTCCATTGGATACTTTTCAGTCCACTTCTCACTTTTCCGCAGCATGATGGTTGACCTATCACCTCCTTCTCAAAATACTCCTTTCTTGGCTTTTGTGGTATTAATATTAAGCCCTCCTGCTTTCCTGTTACCTGTCTGGCTACTGCACTCAGTCTCCTTTTCCTTTCTCTGTCCCTCAGATGTAGCTAGCAAGTGACATAGTTGATCTGTGTTTTAGTAGTTACTTTGCCAGCTCTGTGGAGACTACAGTAATATGATGCAAGACCACATTAAAGATGTGCACTGGGGACTTCCCTGGCGGTCCAGTGGTTGAGACTCTGCACTTCCACTGTGGGGGGTGCAGGTTCAATCCCTGGTCAGGGAACTAGGATTCCGTGTGCTGTGTGGTGCAACCAAAACAGTGAATAAAGATGTGCACTGATCTGTCTTTGCCATCTTTTGCCCCTTAATGTAAAATCAGTGGGGAGCCTATTTTCTATGTTCTGTACCTCTACCAATTTTGTACATTTGCCACTTTCTGACACCTTAATGTGAAGGAAAATGTAGACAACTCCTGGGAATTGGGGGCTCTGCCCAAAAGCAAGCAAAACTTGGCCTTTGGTGTTTCCATTTGTTACTTTAAACCCCCTTGAATTTTATGTTCTGTTTTAACTTGTTTAATTCTGCTCCTTTGTTTTAATTTGAAAGTCTACTGCCACTTTCCCCAAATTGAAGGAAGATTGACCATCCAAGAAGATGCTAATGTTTATCTCCCCTTTCTTTGTTAGACCTCTGTGACCTTGGCACATTCTGGGGTTTCTGTGTGGGCCCAGCCCATGCTTTTGATGTCTGTTTCTCTGTGGTTACTGGCCTTTTGTTTTTCTCTTTTATCCTTGCTGACTACCTTTGAGCCACTTTGCTGTCTATTCACCTGAAAACGGTGGTGGAAAAGTACAAACTTAATGTGTACATGCATTAGGCTTTCAGAGTCTAGGCCCATCCAACCTCCAGCCAGGCAGTGCGAGTATCTGTAGCCTGATCCCTCATTAGGATTGGGAGATCCTAATTTGGGTGGATTGGGAAAAAGAAGAGACCTGTTCCTTTCTTCTTATGCTGTATATCTCAGAGCTTACTGAGTTTTTGGGGTACGATATGTGGCACCAGTTCAAGTAGAGCCTGTTTGTTTACAGTGGGTTCATATATACATGTGTATAATTAAGAGATGTGCTTTGATTCTAACCTGAATCGTGATGAAATAATGTTTATTTCAGGCATTCTGTGACAGTGTTTTCATTTGTGATTTTAAGAGTAATAAATATTCACTATAGAAAAAGTACAGAGAAATGTTTTAAGGAAAGCAAGGAAATTACCCAAATATAATGTGTTTAGATATATTTTCTTTCCCTTTTTCTGTATATCTCCTTTACATGTTTATATTTGGATTCTGCTTTTTTTTTTTTTTCTTTTTTTCGTTACGCGGGCCTCTCACTGTTGTGGCCTCTCCCGTTGCGGAGCACAGGCTCCGGACACGCAGGCTCAGCGTCCATGGTTCACGGGCCCAGCCTCTCCGCGGCATGTGGGATCTTCCCGGACCAGGGCACGAACCCATGTCCCCTGCATCGGCAGGCGGACTCTCAACCACTGCGCCACCAGGGAAGCCCCAGGATTCTGCTTTTTTGGTTCAGCAGTATCTACCAAAAAGCATCCTACAAAGATGAAAATTTGAAATACTTGTAATCTACCTAACACCTTACAAGATTTTTATAAGAAGGCCGCTTTTTAAGTTTTTATGCTTTTCCTAACAATTTTTTTCCTTTGGGGACCATACATTTAATGTTGTGATGAGACGTTACTAGTATATAACAGATGTTCTTTTCTGGTCTAAGTTGTTAGCATTTTTGCCATTTTTAAAGTTCTCTGTAGGCATTTTAAGTGACTCCATAATTCAATACATAGATATATCATTTACTTAAATAGTTCATATTGTGTATTGCTTTCTACAAAGGTGGTTTCAGTTTATATCTCCTAACAGTGTGAGTGCTTATCTTGTTTGTTTTTCATATTTATTATATATTGAATGCCAACATACTTCTCTGTCTCCTGCCTTCAAAAGAGGCATTTATTCCCTGTGGAGCTTCCTTTTCAGATATCATATGTAGAGACAAGTCCAGGTGTTTCATAGAATGTTTGAGTGGGAGGGAGTAGTCAGTCATTAAAAGGTATTAACAGTAATGTGTCTGTTATAATGAAACCATTCTGAAAGTACTATACAGCCTTATTCTGACTTTTGGGTTCCAGCTTCCTCTAGATTAGGCAGAGCACTGGCTGAGCTATTTGGACTCCTTGTTAAACTTTGTGTGGGGTCTCCTGTCCGCCAGAGAAGGAGCCATCATGCTGCCAGCACCACCACAGCACCAACACCCGCTGCTCGATCAACGGCCTCAGCTCTCACTAAGCTCCTCACAAAGGGCTTATCTTGGCAGCCTCCACCATATACACCTACTCCACGCTTCAGGTGAGGTTCCGCTTGAGATGCAGAATCTAATTGGTTCCTTCTCCACTTGAATGTAGAGTGAGCCACTGAATTAGAGGACTTGGAGGTCCCTTGTTTTACTCTTAAATGTGTACCCCAAATACTGTTTAAGCTACTTGTTTTGGTTCTGCCTAGTCTAAGATATAGAAATTTTAAAAGCATTTGTAATCAAACTGCATTCCAATAACCTCGTATTTACTAGTAGGTGGGAACTGTCACCCTTTTTTGCCTTAGAAATTTTTTTTTTTTTTTTTTTGCGGTACACGGGCCTCTCACTGTTGTGGCCTCTCCTGTTGCGGAGCACAGGCTCAGCGGCCATGGCTCACGGGCCCAGCCACTCCGCGGCATGTGGGATCTTCCCGGACCAGGGCACGAACCCGTGTCCCCTGCATCAGCAGGCGGACTCTCAACCACTGCGCCACCAGGGAAGCCCTGCCTTAGAAATTTTAATATCCAGACTAGTCACCCAGTGCAATATTAAATTTTACTTTTGACTTTTACTTGAATTTCCCATTGCTTCTGTGTCTGCCTCAGAGAAGGTTAACTTTTTGCTTTTTCCCTCTTCCAGGCTGACATTCTTCATCTGTTCAGTTGGTTTTACATCCCCAATGCTGTTCGATGAGAGGAAGTATCCCTACCACCTCATGCTGCAGAAGTTTCTCTGCTCTGGAGGCCACAATGCTCTTTTTGAGTAAGGATCATGGTGCTTTACAGAGAAGCATTGTTTGGAGTTTGGTCTTTTCTGTGTGCCTTAGCAGCCCACAACTTTCTAAGCCACCTGTCCTGTGACAGTGAGATACATAGAGACAGCCATTGGGTATACCCTTTCACGTTTCAGGAACTAACTGTATGTATCTCCATCTTCCTGGAGGGTGTGATTCAGCCTGTCCTAGGAATGTTTGTAAGGGTCTCTGTTTTTCTTCATTTGGCTTGTAATGTCTGGTACATATTTTCTAATAGACTTGTCCTTTGCTGCTGTTTCTCTGAATATGATCATTTTTCTGCTTCTTTTGATCAGAAGATTCTAAGCTAAGTTTCACTTTGGGGTTTTTGTTTGTTTTGGCTTTAAAAGTAAAGCTAGAAGCGGTAGTAATTTTGCCATATATGCATATAACAAATATATGTCAATAATATATCAATAAAGCTGGAATAAAAACCCAAATAAAAGGTAAAGCTCTGTATTCAACATCTTGTAATTACCTATAAGGAAAAAGAAGTTTTTATATATATATATATATATATATATATATAAAACTGAATTGCTGTATACCAGAAACTAACACAACATTGTAAACCAGCTATACTTAAAGTAAAAAAAGGGGGGGGAGGGGTAAAGCTAATAAATGTTGGACAGACTGGAAGCAATAGCTCCAAGAGGAGGGACTGGGAAGCTTTCGAATGTGTCCCTTTCTCTCCCCATCCCCAATCTAAAATACTAATATTCTATCTCTATACTTTCTCTTATTTGAATTTAGAACATTCAATTGGGCTCTGTCCATGGGAGGCAAAGTTCCTGTTGCAGAGGGATTAGAACATTCAGACTTACCTGATGGCACAGGAGAATTCCTAGATGCCTGGCTAATGCTGGTGGAAAAGATGGTGAATCCCACCACGGTGCTTGAATCTCCACATTCACTGCCTGCCAAATTGCCTGGAGGTGTTCAGAACTTTCCACAATTCAGTGCCCTCCGCTTCCTTGTGGTAACTCAGAAAGTGAGTAGTCAGCATTCTAAAACCAAGAGCAATTTCTCATGCCAACTGGGTAGCTCCCACTCTGTTTTGTCCTCCTTAGTGAAATAACTCGATTGGTAGAGAACCACTGGCTCCTACTCCCAGATAGGGCTGCCTTGCAGAATGGGATAGAGACCACTTGATAATTTTCTGTGGTGTAAACATTTGAACTGTAAACTTCAGATTGGTACTTCCAGGTTGGGTTAAATGCCCCTTCTCTGTACTTCCTTGGGCCCCCCCCAACCTCAGTACTGCCTAGGATTTTGTTGTTGGCACTGACTGTGGAAGGACCGTCTCATAAGTCTTTGACTTATTCTTCCTGGGGTTTTGAATTGAGACAAAATGATCTTTACACAGCCTTTCAAATGACTTACAGGCAGCCTTTACTTGCATCAAGAACCTGTGGAACCGGAAACCCTTGAAGGTGTATGGTGGGCGAATGGCTGAGTCCATGCTGGCCATCCTGTGCCACATCCTCCGAGGAGAACCTGTCATTCGAGAGAGACTGAGCAAAGAGAAGGAGGGGTCTCGAGGAGAAGAGGATACAGGACAAGAGGAAGGTGGCTCCCGCCGGGAACCTCAAGTCAACCAGCAACAACTACAACAGGTGGGGTTCTGGCCTCACACTCCAGGATCAAGACTTTGCACTGGAGAGTATACTGCTTGTGGGGTTTCTAAGTTTCTTAATGCCTGGTCCTGTTAGGGGATAGGTTTAAATTTGTTCCCTCTTTTACTCTTTATTTTTTTCTCTTGAGAAAGCTGGAGAATAGTTTCAGTACTCCTAATAGGTAAAAGATTTGTGTCCTCCCAAGCATATTGTTTAGTATTGGAAGTCTTTTACGTATTCTCAGTAGGCTGTGGTTGCCATGTTCTTTGGAGGCAAACTGTCCTCAGCTACTTTCTCATTAATCTATAAAGAGAAGGGATATTGTGGCCCAAATTTATTTTCCATCAAGAGCTTTCGGAAACCTTAGTCACCTACAAAACTTTTGTTTTCATTTTTAAATTTTAAAATATTGGAGGCTAGAAGTGGGGGGGGTGCACTTAGATCCTCACATTTCAGTCTCAAACAGCATTTAGCATACTCCTCTTGCAATTTGTGTGTATGTATATGTGTTCTCTTTATATCTAGAGTCCTGTTCAAATATGTCTTCTATATGTACATGCAACTTTTTTTATTATAATAGTTAAAAGTGCTCACTTAAAGAAAAGTTAGAAATATAGCAAAATACATTTTAAAGGCATTCTTAATATCACCACACAGAATAGTCATGTCCTTTTTTTCATCACTTAGTTCTATGCCTAATTTTTACATAGTAACATCATACAGTATGTAAGCTTATACTGCTGTCGTTAAGAAAATGGGTCTTTTTTACTTCTTAATCATTCTTTTATTGCTGGATATGTTGATTTTCTTATTATTTGATGTTGTAAAGCTCTGATGTATAGTTTCTTTTTCTACAAATTTTTCTGTGCATCTCATGATTATTTCCTAGTTGTAGATTTCCTGGGTCAGTTTTTCAGGCTCTTGTTCTGTTGCCAGTTTGTCTTCAAGAAAAGTGGGACCAAGTTTTGCTTCTGTGTGTGAGTCTCAGTCTTTGAATTAGAATAATCTTCCTAATGATAATAACCATCTAGGTGAATTTTCTTAAAGGATGGAACTGAGAATCACCTTGGCTCCTTGCCTCAATGTGTAGCTCTGTGTAAATAGTATGGAGGCACCAGGCAGAAAGGATCATTCACGTTATCTAACTGCCTTACCTTATAAATGTTCTCAGTTCATATGAAGTTAGGAAAACTTGTTTACATCTTAAAAGGATTCCTTTCTTTTTAAAATGCATTTGGATTTCTCTTTTACCATGGTTCTGAGATCCTGCCTTCTTTTTGTAGCTCATGGACATGGGCTTCACAAGGGAACATGCCATGGAGGCCCTGTTGAACACCAGCACCATGGAGCAGGCCACAGAGTACCTTCTAACCCACCCTCCCCCGATCATGGGAGGAGTTGTTCGGGTGAGTTGGCTCAGGGGCTCTAATCTTTCATGGCATTGGTTTGGCTGCTGATGTGCTTTACTTCTCTGTGCCGAAATTTTCTTTATATGCTAACTCTTATAGCTCTAGAATATAAGGAGCAGAAGCTTTCTGTCTCCTATTCATGCAAATTACTGGACTTTGCAGAGGAACTCTTAAATTATGCATAATCAGAAAGTAATAGGAAGGCTCTCTTTTGTGAGATGCCAAATAGGTGGTCACATTGAAACTCCTTTCCTATATTTAATTTTGTTGTGATTTTTCCCTCTCGTTCTCGTAAGTGACCAGGTAAGCCTAATTGAGTTTGACTCTAGAGAGCAGCATTCAGAGCCCCTTCTCTTCCTCTCTAAAGCTTGAACACAGGATGTCTGGTTCCTTATGAGTTGTGTGTGTAGTTGCTGGAATTTCTGTTGTTGCTCTTTAGGATCTGAGTATGTCTGAAGAGGACCAGATGATGAGAGCAATTGCCATGTCTCTGGGACAGGATATCCCAATGGATCAAAGGGCAGAGTCACCTGAGGTAACTAGGAAACGCGGCTTCCAAGAGGGTCTGACACATTAATCTTAGTATTTCTGTGAACATTCTGCTACTACTGCAGAGTAATTGGTCGAATTAAAGTGTAAACAAAGACATGTGTGAATACTCATTCATCCCAACCTTGCCATCACTAATCTACATTACATTGACCTGAAACTTTAAGTGAAACAGATGAAGCATTAATATTTATTGTCAAATAAGAGGCCCAAAATGTCCTTGGTAGTACCCATTAGGCCAAACTTGGCTGTCTTTATTACCTAGGAATCTAGGTAATAATTACTTCAGTTTACCATACCTGCAGAGAATGCAGCACAATGTCTACAAATGCTATTTGTGGGGGGTGATGTAGGATGATGCACATAAGTTGCCAGTGCTTTGAGGATTGGAGGTGTCCTTCCCCTGTCTTGCCTTAGCCTGTGTGGCTGCCCTCATACTCATTGCCACACTCTAACGAATGTATCACCTGCTTGAGGAGAAGGTAGAGAATATTCATATGGTAGGGCAGATACATTTTTAGAGTCTTCTCACTTTTTTCCTTCCCTGCCTCCAGGAAGTTGCTTGCCGGAAGGAGGAGGAGGAACGGAAAGCTCGGGAAAAGCAGGAAGAGGAAGAGGCTAAATGTCTAGAGAAGTTCCAGGATGCTGATCCATTGGAGCAAGATGAACTCCACACTTTCACAGATACCATGTTGCCAGGCTGCTTTCACCTTCTTGATGAGCTCCCAGACACAGTGTACCGGGTGTGTGATCTGATCATGACAGCAATCAAACGTAATGGAGCAGACTATCGAGACATGATTCTGAAGCAAGTAGTCAATCAGGTAAGTAAGTTCTCCAGGGGCCAGAAGAGGGGAGTATGTAAAATGGTTTTCCTGCCATCTATCAAAACCTGGTTTCTTTTTTTATTTTTTTAATCAGTATCTTTGCATTTTATCTGATATGGATGTATTCTTTCTTTGAATTCTGTAGATCTAGTAATCTAGCTCTTTCTTGAGTGTTTTCCTGCAAAACATGAATTAACTGCTTCACGCACAAAATATCTTTGAAAGAAAAAAACAAAGCTCTCTTTTTCTAGGTATCTCTTCTTAGGTTCGTCAAAAATGTCTCTCACTCTTGAGCCAAGTTAGGCCCCCTGGCCTAAATAAATGTTTTTCCCTCTCCTCCTATGCAACAACCATTTTGACAGATGAGTCCCCATCCTAATGAGTAGTTGTGACCTATTGTCTTTTTTTAAGCAGTGTTTTTCCTCATTATGAAATTAATGTATGCTAGTTGTTGAAGTAGAATAAGAAATAAATTGCCCTAAATTCCCACATAGCCAGTTAGCATTTTGGTTTTATTTCCTTTACTATTTTTTATGATTTATGTATTTAAATCATTGGAATCTTGTTTTATATATTTTTTTAAGTTTAGAGACAGAGGAAGAAAGTAAGTGTTGTATGTAAACATAGCTTTAGTGTATGGAAACATCACAAGAGTAAAAGGCAAACTGAATAAACCTTTTTTCTTCCCCCCACAAGATATCACCAATGCTTAGTTATCTTTAATCTATATTAAGAGCTTATAGAAGTGATTCTAAGCAAACTAAAACCTTAATAGACAAGAGCAATTACATAAAATTCATTACAAGAAATTTTTAACATGCATACTAAAGCAAGACCAATGTTTCTAACTGGGATTTTTGTTTTCTGTTTTTAATGATAATTCTGGGGCAGGTGTAGTGAAAGATTTTAAGTTGGTAGAACCTTTGTGGGATTGACTCTATATATGCACCAGAAAATTTTTAAAAATATTCATTTTCTTTAACTTCTAATTTAGACTTCTTGTAATCTAGCCTAAGAAAATAATTTTTTAGAGGCGCTCCTTTAGTAGCGTACATCTTTTGATACAGACACCCTATAGTAAATATGTTAATATTTACCCCCCTCCTTCAGTGAATGTATTAGAGGTGGAGGGAGTATTTTACAAGGTTGAGAATGTTTTGACATACCTCATCATACTCAATCTACAGTTTTTGACTTGGCCACTTTTCTGCTTTCGTAGGTGTGGGAAGCTGCTGATGTATTGATCAAGGCCGCTCTTCCCCTGACAACGAGTGACACAAAAACTGTGTCAGAGTGGATCAGTCAGATGGCCACCCTGCCCCAGGCCTCCAATTTGGCTACTAGAATCTTGCTTTTAACACTGCTTTTTGAGGTAAGATTTAGACCTTTTGGTCCTTGTGATTCATTCATCAAAGAATCATCAAACACTTACCATTTGAGACATTGAAGAAGGTAGAGAGAAATGTAGGACAAGTCTGCATTTCATAGCCTACAGCTTCTAATAGACTGTAATGTACACAATTAAGTACAAAATACAGCATTCTATGCCACATGAATGGCATAAACAGTTTTATCTGAGTTCGGGGGGGGCAGTATGCATCACTTCTGGATAATGAGAGAAGGGCTTCTCAGAACAAATGTTAATTGAATTGGGTCTTAGAGGATTGGGGGATGGGGTGTAATTATAAGACCGTACTTAGAATGACTATTAGCAGTTAAGTTGTGGAATATTTTTGGCTTCTCTGAGGAAAACTAACAAGCAGCTAAAGAATGGGGTAGGATGTGGAAATTTGGTAATAGGTGTCAGATAGAATCTGACTCTTCTTTCCTACCTGGTCAGTCAGCAGATTATTTGAGGTAAAGCATGGCTTGGCCAGGACATGTTCTTGTTCCAGCCATCATAGGAATTAGGAGGCACCTAACCTTGAACAAGTGGTTCTTCATTCTTATCTTATCATGTTTAATGGTAAAACCTGGATTTAATGGAGTAAACCCTTATAGCAACTCAGGAGTTAAGTCCAATATATGTGTCAGTCTGTGTGTGTACAGTCTCAGGGCTTTCCTTTGTGTTAAAAGTGGTGATTCTTATTATATAGCACTTGTGAATAGATACTTGTGGGAAATGTTGCAAAGTACTGAATGCTGGGGGTCCCCCAAAACATTACAATATAAAGAAATCACTCATGAGCCCCCCTTTTTTAAAAAATCACAAATGACAGCCTAACATTTTTCTTCTAGTCTTTTTTTCTGTACATTTAAACAGTTGGGATCAGAGTATTTAGAAAGTTTTGTATTCTTTTCTCTCAGTATTATGTTACAAATATTTTCCCACGTCATGTATATATTATTCCATTTTTTTGAGGTCCCCTAGTTTAAATAACTACCTATTGTCGGCCATTTAAATTACTTCCAGTGATTTCCTGTTACATCAGTAACACTTTATGTAGCCCTTGTAAGGGGAACCATTAAGTATGTTGCTGTGTTTAATTATTCCATCTTCCTTGGAAGATTATAAAGGTTCTCTGTAAATCAGAAGCTTTTCAACTAGTGTAGGTAACAGTTCTTAATGATATTAATGATACTAGTAACAGTTTCCATATTAAGCACATACTAATGTACCAGCCACTGTTTTGGCACAGTGTATCACAATTACCTTGGAGATAGAAATTATTCCCTTTGACCCTTGAGGAAACCAAGGCCTAGAGAATTTAAGTAACTAATCTCGGACCACATAGCTGGTAAGTGGTGGAAATGGAATTTGAATTCAACCAATTCTATTAGCGTTCGCTCTTATGTTCTATACCATGCTAATCCTTGATACTGAGTAGAAGCTGGTATTTGTTTTATTTTTTTTCCTTTGATTAATCAATCAGGAGTTGAAGCTACCTTGTGCTTGGGTGGTTGAATCTAGTGGCATCCTTAATGTCCTAATCAAACTCTTGGAAGTGGTTCAGCCCTGCCTACAGGCCGCCAAGGAACAAAAGGAGGTCCAGACCCCAAAGTGAGTGACCCTGTAATCTCTCTTGTTTTCATTTCTGTTGCCCTGGGGATTTGGGCCCTCAAGCTTAGGGCTTGAATCAGGGAGTTTTCTGGGTCATGTACGGGCCAAATCTTGGATACCTTTTGTGGCTTGAAAATTGTGAGGTACCTGATGAAATCAAGATAAATTTTCCCATGTTGTGCAGGTTTCTGGCTTGCCCAGAGTAAATCATTTCTCCTGTTTTAGGTGGATCACCCCAGTGTTGCTTCTGATTGATTTCTATGAAAAGACAGCCATCTCCTCAAAAAGGAGAGCCCAAATGACTAAGGTACGTAATATGGTGTATGTGGTGAGCAGAACAGCTCAGCTTCTTGAGGCAAGAATAGACCAGAAGAGAATGTGGGATAGTGGTAAAAGAAAAAAATGTAAAGCTCTCTGATCAAGGCATAAATCTCTTGAGGGATCTTGATAGCTAGAGTTTTCTTTTGAATTGGGAGTTAGAATTTTTTTTTTTTTTTTATGGAGCTGCTGGCTAAAGGGTCTAAGAACTTACCCTGGAAGTAAATGTTAAAGAAGTGTTCTGTCTCCAGAGGAGGAGTGGCTCTTCTTTTATGTGAAGGACTGAGTGTGCAAGGATTCCTCCAAAAGCAAGTGCTCCTTATACGAAAATTATATACGCCACATCATCTTAGTACCTTCCCAGAAACAGAAGTTTTGTTCCAGTACATCTAAAATGTTTACCTTTTGTGGAAAATAGTTGGAAACAAAAGGAAAGCAGAGCATCACAGGATAAGGGTATTTATAGAGTGTTTTGTGCCTATGGAGAGGCTCAGGAATGCGAGGGTTAAGGTATATAAAAACTTCTCTCTTGGTTTGCAAAACATTTAAAATGTCCAATATATTTCTTTTTCCTGGGTTAGCTTTAGCAATGAACACTGATGAAATTACTATTTCTTCTAACAATCAACCTTGTAAGGAAGTACAGTGAAACTTTGTGTTCTTGTATTTAGTACCTACAGTCCAACAACAACAACTGGCGCTGGTTTGATGACCGCTCTGGACGTTGGTGTAGTTACAGTGCAAGCAACAATAGCACTATTGATTCCGCCTGGAAATCTGGAGAGACAAGTGTGCGTTTCACAGCAGGCCGAAGAAGATACACTGTCCAGTTCACTACAATGGTGCAGGTACATGCTCACTCAATGCCATAAACTTGGTTGAAAAGAGGGGAAGGTGCTGAGTATGCCTTTCCGTTTGCTTCTTCCTGAACCAGCAGTCCTGTTATAAGAACAGTATTACCACTCCTAAATGGGGTATAGTTTTCAGAGAACTGAGTCTTCTTACAGCCATGTGTTAGGCCATGAGTCTGTGGCAATTTGATACTGTCCCACCCGGAAATGATTTTAAGTGTTCAGTCAAGGATTAGGGAGTGGTTGGGGATGGAGTCTGCTCTATTGCAAAGTTTATAATTTGCTGTAGGGTCTTGTGTATGCCACTTTCCTTCTGAGGACCCTCAGGCTTTCTCTCTGTAAATGATAGGGGTGGGATAAATTGCCAAGGTTCCTTCCTGTTACAGCATTTTGCTACAGAGTTCCAGCTCTCCCACCCCCCTTACAATTCTTTTTTCAGTAGAGATGTTTTTGTCTGCTTGAATTCCTAGGTTAATGAGGAAACAGGGAACCGGCGCCCGGTGATGCTGACACTCCTGAGGGTACCACGGCTGAATAAAAATTCTAAAAACAGCAATGGACAAGAACTAGAGAAGACATTGGAAGAAAGCAAAGAAATGGATATCAAACGTAAAGAAAATAAAGCCAATGGTATGTACTTTTAGTTGTGAATCTTTCAAGGAGTGTCTTACACAAAGCTAGTGTGCCTTTATGGCTTAAATTCTGGCCAGATTTCATCATGAGTGATTTCTTATCCATCAGATTGCTTGGTGACTTAAAGATACACAGTCCTCTTTATGTGCCTTTTCATCTGGCCTTTGAATTGGTATTTGGTCTGTTTCTCTTAATAGGACCCAAGTGTTTGACTGGTTACTTAAGAGGGAGAGGATGGGAGGAAATGTCAAGTTAACTGTCTGAACACTTACTTTCCCATTTATAGATACCCCCTTGGCCCTAGACAGTACAAATACTGAAAAGGAGACAAGCCTGGAAGAAACAAAAATTGGGGAGATCCTGATCCAGGGCCTGACAGAGGATATGGTGACTGTTTTAATCCGGGCCTGTGTGAGCATGCTAGGGGTCCCTGTGGACCCAGACACTTTGCATGCCACCCTTCGCCTCTGCCTGAGGCTCACCCGAGACCACAAATATGCCATGATGTTTGCAGAGCTGAAGAGTACCCGCATGATCTTGAATTTGACCCAGAGTTCAGGCTTCAATGGGTTTACTCCCCTGGTCACCCTTCTCTTAAGACACATTATTGAGGACCCCTGCACCCTCCGCCATACCATGGAAAAGGTGAGTCTTTCTGGTGTCCGATGCTGGTTTAGCTTTACATAATACCTTGTTCTCCTTGCTCTCAGAGCAGATAGACTTCCAGTTCTTCATCAAGTATATAGCTAGGTGTTACAGATGATATGCTCTGCCCAGCAAAACTTCCCAACTGTGTGCTCAGGTGCTTGCTTAGGTATGGTAGGTCACTCATTATCCCATTGAGTGACATTTAAAAGGTACTAGAAAATACATTTTTTACCCTTAAATTTACTATAGTGATAGCTCTTATCTAGAAAGTCCTCTCTAGCAATATAGGTTTCTTGAACCAAAACTTTTTTTTAACATCTTTATTGGAGTATAATTGCTTTACAATGGTGTGTTAGTTTCTGCTTTATAACAAAGTGAATCAGCTATACATATATCCCCATATCTCTTCCCTCTTGCCTCTCCCTCCCTCCCACCCTCCCTATCCCACCCCTCTAGGTGGTCACAAAGCACTGAGCTGATATCCCTGTGCTATGTGGCTGCTTCCCACTAGCTACCTGTTTTACATTTGGTAGTGTATATGTGTCCATGCCACTCTCTCACTTCATCCCAGCTTACCCTTCCCACTCCCCGTGTCCTCCAAAACTTGTTAATAAGGAACTAGGATACCCTCTACCAAGTTCATGTTTTAAAGGTCATTCTCTTATAGGAGTACTTCACCCAAGAGCCTGTTTTCCAAACGTTGTGTTTTGGGGTTGTAAAAGTACAGTTGACTCTTGAATAACACAGGTTTGAATTGCACAGTTCCACTTATATGTAGATTTTTTTTCCAATAGTAAACACTATAGTACTACCACAATCCACAGTGGGTTGAATCCACAGATAAAGAACCTCAGATGTGGAGGGCCACTGTAAGTTATTCGTGGATTTTCGACAGCATGGAGGGTTGGTGCCCCAACCCCCATGTTGTTCAAGGGTCAGCCGTAGTAAAATTTTTGGAATGTTTATGACTGTGATAAGCTCTTTACAAATATGCATTGTGCACATGAGAAAACTGAGGTCTATTTGTTTATTTTAGGAAACATATAAAGCAGTAGAAGAAATAACAAAGCAGTTAGAAAAATAAAAACCTTTATGTCATCAACTTTAAGACATCAGCAGAGGGGTTGGGGGCTAACATCTCACCAATAAGGCTTTTTCTCCACAGTACTTTTACAAACTCTTTCCTACTTCTTTCTCAGCAATCATCAGGTGAATGCTACTGACTTCACTTTCAATTTCCTCTCTTGGAACATCGTTTCCCACGTTGATATATAGTGTTGCTATTTGTATTTTTGTGCATAGCTTTGTCACATTTAAGGTCGTTTTTCTTATAAATGCTTAGAAATTGGATCAAAAGGTATATATTGTTTTTTAGCTTGCTTGCCAGAAAGGTGGTGCCACTTCATACTTCTATGCGTATATGAGTATATATCTCACATTCTTCAGACAGTTCTTCTTTAGCCAGCCTGTTTGATTTCACCTGACATGAGCAAAACCAAAAGAAGGCTGTTAAAGACAGCATGTACACTGATCCAGGGTCAGGAGACAGCCCAACAGAGAAGAAACAACTATATACAGACAGGATTCTGACTTAAAAACAAACATACTTAAAATGTTTAAAGCTTATACAACTTTTTAAAATGCTATGAAAAAATGTAGGTTCTTTTTGGATGACAGAAAACTTTGTAAGCTTAAAGGCAATTTTATTTGGGGGTGTGGGAAACAAAGGAAGATCAGTGGCAGGTTTAACGTATCAAGTAGCAAAATGTAAATGCTTGATAATGTCCATTGCAGGTACGGGTGTGAAGAACCAGGCATACTCTTACTTTTGGTAGGAGTGGAAATTGGTGCAACCACATTGGAGGGCAATTTGGTACTGTCTGTTTAAGATATCCTTTGACCTAGAAATTCTGTGGCTAAGAATTTATCTGATAACTAAAGTCAAGTATGCCAAGTACATATACAAGAATGTTCACTGTAGAATTACTTGTAATATCAAGACTAGAGATCTAATGTCCAACAGAGGACTGAATAAACGATGGCACATAGTGGAATTACACTTTTCTGTATTTAAAAAATGGGAGTTATTTTACGATTGCAGCCTGGCAGGCAAGATGTAGAAGTTGTTAGGCTAAACTGAAGAGCATGACCAATTTGGTAAGAAAAGCATTGAGTCCAAAAGATTTTTACCTTTATGAACATAATTTACAAAGCAATAGATCGTGGAAAATACAGTAGAACTATTTTCTTTATACTTTCCTATACTTTCCATGATTTAACAAGTCATTTTATGAGAACAAAAGCATGACAATGTCTAAGCCCTGTGGTATCAAAGCAAACAGTCCATAAGTAGTTTGGTATCTCCTGGCTGTCATTATCCAAGACTGATTATTGACTTTGAAACATAAAGAAAGCATTTAATTTTGTTCTTATACACTAAGTGGATGTCAGTATTACATATTTTTAGAGTTTGAACCATTCTGGTTTAAAATCAGGATGGCATTTGGGAAGGCTAGGAGCTGGCACTTAAATTTGGGAGCCATAATCTGGATGATCAATGATCTGTATAAGTTACCCATTTTATATAAAGGTCACGTATCATCTAGTCTAATAGTTGATAATTTTGGGGGTATGCTGAATGCTGTAACTTTTTTGTAAGCCACATTTTTTGAATTGGGAAGGAATAGGACTTGAAAGACCAAGTGTATCTTTCTCCCAAAGATCAAAGGCTGTCATCCGCTGTCTTGAGGCAGAACTTGGTTGGTATTTTAATCCTTGGTAGCTCTTCCTTGAATGCAGTTGTGTTTTAGAAAGTGGTCTTTAATCAGCAGTGTTCTCCCTTTCTTTACTAGGTTGTTCGCTCAGCAGCTACAAGTGGAGCTGGTAGCACTACCTCTGGTGTTGTATCTGGCAGCCTCGGCTCTCGGGAGATCAACTACATCCTTCGTGTCCTTGGGCCAGCCGCATGCCGCAATCCAGACATTTTCACAGAAGTGGCCAACTGCTGTATCCGCATTGCCCTTCCAGCCCCTCGAGGCTCAGGAACTGGTAAGTTTACCCTTCTCTTAGCCTTTGAGACATTGAGGTCTGTGGCTTAGTATAACTCCAAAAATTTTCTGTGAGGAAGCCTATAACTTGGAAAACCTCCTTAGGCAAGCATTGGGACATTGGCTGGTTGATCAAGTGGGTCAATTCAAGGGTAGTTCAGTAGCTTCTCTGGTCCTTACCCTGTGGTAATTCCTGCCAGAGATTCCAAGGACTCATTCAGTCTAGTCCTTGCCTTCAAATAACTTAGCTTGATGTGACAATAGTGAATGTAAACAGTGAATGGTTTGCAGATAGAGTGATAATTGAGGGACAAATGGACATGTGACTTATGTGATACAGTAGGAAGAATCACAGTGTATTCTTGCCAAAAATGTTTGACCTATAATTATGAGGAAACAATTAGATAAGTACAAATTGTGAGGCATTCCATAAAAAAACTGACCTAGACTCTTCCAAAATATTAATGTCGTGAAAGGGGAAAATGCAAGGATCTCCTAGATAAAAGGAGGTGAGAGAAAACCACCAACCTTGATGGGATGCTGAATCTAGATAAAGGAGATTTGGAGAAGTTAGAACAGTTACTATATATTAGATAATATAATTGTATCTGTGTTAAATTTCTTGGGTATTATGGTATTCTGGCTATGTAGAAAAATATCCTTGATCTTAGATGCAGGTAGACATATTTAGGGGTGGACAAATGGTGATTCTAGATGAAAAGTATATGGATTTTTTTGTACTAACCTTTCAACTTTTCTGTGGGGTCGTGGGGCTTTGGGGGTTTTTTTGTTTGTTGGTTTGTTTTTTTTTTAAATTAAAAGTTGGGAAAGGGGGCTTCCCTGGTGGCGCAGTGGTTGAGAGTCCACCTGCCGATGCAGGGGACACGGGTTCGTGCCCCGGTCCGGGAAGATCCCACATGCCACGGAGTGGCTGGGCCCGTGAGCCATGGCCACTGAGCCTGCGTGTCCGGAGCCTGTGCTCTGCAATGGAAGAGGCCACAACAGTGAGAGGCCCGCGTACCGCAAAAAAAAAAAAAAAAAAAAAGTTGGGAAAGGGACTACTTATTTTGGCAGCCCCACCCTGGCTCTGTGCTGGGCATTTCTCATGTATGGTCTCCTTTTATCCTCAAATTTTCAAGAATGAGAAAATTGAGGTTTGTTGAAATAATTTGGCCATGATCTTATAACAGAACTGGATTTCAAAACCAAATGTCCCCAACTCCAAAGCCTATACTCTTTTTTTACTATTTGATATTGCTGTATGAAATCCTGTGGGATTTAGGGAAGGTAAAAGCCAGATTTTCTAGTAGACTACTTGAACATTGTTTGGAAGTGGCCCCCCCCCGCTTCTGAGTCTTTATCAGTAACCAAATGTAGGTACCCGTTCATTATTAACTAATTTTTCCCTGTCTCACTTTGGCTTAGCTTCAGATGATGAATTTGAGAATCTTAGAATTAAAGGCCCTAATGCCGTACAGCTGGTGAAGACAACCCCTTTGAAGCCCTCACCTCTGCCTGTCATTCCTGATACTATCAAGGAAGTGATCTATGACATGCTAAATGCCTTGGCTGCATACCATGCTCCAGAGGAAGGTATGTAACTAGCCCACCTGAGGAGGCTGGGCACTTTGTTTAGGTCACTTCAGCTAACTCATGGCTTAGCGAGTACTCAAGTATTTGCCCACTCTCTGGGAATCAAGATGAATAAGACACATAGCCACTTCTCTGAAGAAGTTAATAGTCATACAGTATGAATGATAAGGATAAGGAGATTGCCAGAATCTTTTGTATGAGAGTACATCCCATACAGAGGGAAGAATGAACAAAGATTAAAAAGGAGAGGGCTTCCCTGGTGGCGCAGTGGTTGAGAGTCCGCCTGCCGATGCAGGGGACACGGGTTCGTGCCCCGGTCCGGGAGGATCCCACGTGCCGCGGAGCGGCTGGGCCCGTGGGCCATGGCCTCTGGGCCTGCGCGTCCGGAGCCTGTGCTCCACAACGGGAGAGGCCACAACAGTGAGAGGCCCGCGTACCACAAAAAAAAAAAGGAGATAATAAGCAGGTTGAGCAGGTTGAAAATAGAATACCAAGAAGTCTCCAATGTTTTCACTCTCAGAAACAAAACATAGTTGTTGCCCAAAGATCTGGGAACAATATTAGAAGGTGTGGCTAGGCTTCCTGACCTCTGAGACCACCATCCCTATCTTTTGTCCTTAGTTAGGGTGCTGCTTTTAAGTATTGGGAAAGTCATGAATGAATTGCCTGGAACTCAAGTTCCATTCCAGTCAGATCCTTCTGGATTTTATTCAGGACATACTTATTTGATAGGTCCCACAGAATTGCCAAAAGTTGATGAATAGTGCATTTAACAAGTCAAGAAAATCTGAGTCTTTACTTTAGTGCTTTTCATCCATACATCACTCTAATCCTTATAGAGCTCCTTGCTTTACCCCACCTCCTAAACCCTCCTCCCCCCCCAAAATAATAATAATAATTTAGCTATATATAGCAACCATTTATTGACCTCTCACTGTACTAGGCAAAATGTCAGGTATGTTCATTTAAGCTTAGTAGTGACAACTAAGGACAGTGAGGAGAGTAAATTGCCTGTGGTCACAAAACTAGTTATGGAATGAGGCTTTCAACCATGCTCTCTCTACATTTCTCATTCTTAAATCAAAGCCTCGCAATATTACCTTGTAAACACTTGCAGCAACTTGGAGCAAAATTGACCAGGCTACCAGATGGTCATTAACATTGCACAGTCTAAAGAGTTTTGTTTTTATTTTTCTAGCAGACAAATCTGATCCTAAACCTGGGGGTATGACTCAAGAGGTTGGCCAGCTCCTGCAAGACATGGGTGATGATGTATACCAGCAGTACCGGTCACTTACCCGTCAGAGCAGTGACTTTGACACACAGCCAGGATTTTCCATTAATGTAAGTCAGCTCCAGCCTTCTATCTGCCTTCTCCCTTTTCAGTACCTACTACGGGATATAGGGTTATGCCAGGGATATTTCAAAGGTATTAATTTTGATGTATCTATAAATTATCTGTTGCCTAAAAATGAAGATCGGGTTGTCCCTGGGATTTTCTTTTTTCTCCTTGGATTAGAAATGTTTCTTTAATTCATTTTTCATTCTCATCTTCCCCCGTTCCCTTTCCCCTCAAGCTTCCAGTCGCTGTTTATAATGATGGCTTCCCACGGATTATAGTATACAGAAGGAAAAGGTGGTTAAAAGATAAAGAGAGTCTATAACATTTACAGCCAGTACCCTGAAAAGGAGTCCTGCCATTTGGGGACAACTCTCTTTGAAATTAATAATGGCTCAGGAGTTTTCTTCCTCCATAGAGTCAGGTCTTTGCTGCAGATGGTGCCTCCACTGAGACTTCCACATCTGGGACAGCCCAAGGAGAAGGTAATGGTTTGCTTTTCTCTTTTGTTCTTATTTCTTGAGAAGACAGCTTGAAGAAACGGAGTGTCCTGGGCAGACAATAGGGGAATACAGGCATAATTGTCACGTTTACTTGCGTAAGTGAACTTTCTCGGGGGTGAGCTCAGCGTTCTGTAAACAAAAGGTCCCTCCCAGTTATCTGAGACCAGATTAGGTCTTTATATTCTTCAGGAATTCAGGAATACATGCAGATCTCCTTAGAGCTAGCAGCTCAGGACTGTAGGCCCCATTGCTACCAGCTCTAGAAATTACAATGCTTTCTTTAGGGTCTTTAGAAGACTGCCATTTGATTGCCCCAGTGAGAGCTGGTGCTATAGGCACAACAGTGATGTTAAAGAGTGTCCATTAATGACCCAGAGCCAAGTAAATCAAAGACCCTGGGCCCAAAAGCCAGCTTTCTATATCAACATTTCACGCGTGCCTACGTTTTCTTATTGGGATCTATTCCATTTCATAGTATATGGCATCCTGGCCCTGCACCCACTCCTCATTATATGCTAAAGTTAATGGAACTTGCCATTAAAAAGAATGAAATTTGCAGCAACATGGATGGGCTTTGAGGGCATTATGCTAAGTGAAATAAGTCAGACAGAGAAAGACAAATACTGTATGGTATCACTTATACATGGAATCTAAAAAAATAAACTAGTAGGACTTTGCTGGTGGCGCAGTGGTTAAGAATCCTCCTGCCAGTGTGGGGGACATGGGTTCGATCCCTGGTCCAGGAAGATCCCACATGTCGCAGAGCAACTAAGCCCATGTACCACAACTACTGAGCTTGCACTCTAGAGCCCGCGAGCCGCAACTACTGAGCTTGCACACCACAACTACTAAAGCCTGCGCGCCGCAACTACTGAGCCTGCGTGCCTAGAGCCCGTGCTCCACAACAAGAGAAGCCACCGCAATGAGAAGCCTATGCACCACAACAAAGAGTAGACACCACTCGCTGTAACTATAGAAAACCTGCGTGCAGCAATGAAGACCCAACGCAGCCAAAAAATAAATAAATTTGTAAATATATGTGTATATCTTTAAAAAACTAGTAAATATAACAAAAGAGGCAGACTCAACAGATACAGAGAACAAACTAGTGGTTACCAGTGGGGAGAAGGAAGAGGGGAGGGATGGTAGAGGATTAAGAAGTACAAACTATTAGTTATAAAATAAGCTACAAGGATATATTGTACAACATGGGGAATATAGAATAAATAAAGTTTTAATGGAACTGTAACTTAACTAACCCAGTAGTGGTTGCTGTGGTAACATCCTTTAGTTCTACTCTTTAAACCTCTCCGTATATTTCTTTTGGTAGCTTCCATGCTAGCTTATAGAACTTTGGTGCCAGTGACACTATTCTGGCTACAAGATTTATATGGTGGATTCTTACTTTCTAGCAGTTTCAACAGAGCCCATTGGCTACTTGCCAAGAATTAGAGAAATGTCATATGGAAGCAATTCTAATGAGACCTTTCAAGAGCTCCTTCTCCTTGACAGGAAGGATCTTTGAAATCTAAGTTGAGATGTACTTAATGCCAGTTTAGTCCCTGGAGGATAAGCTTAAAAGGCTAATAATTAGTAAAATACTGGTTAACTCATTTTGGTGGACTTACTGCTCATATGTAGTGTATAGTATGGGTGATGGTAGTATCATTCAAGGGAAGCATCATTGCCCACTATGTGGCAGACTATAGTAGACACCAAAATGAATCAGGTTCATTCCCTGCACTTAAAGAATTTTGTCTAGTGAGGGTGACATGCAGTGCTTTTAGTACAAGATAACTGCTGGAATGGAGGCGTGCTGGGATAAGATATAGTGGGCACATGATAATGATAGCATGTCAGTATGCCTGGATGAAGCAGGAAAGCATTTTATAGAGGAGATCATCTTTTGAGCTTAGCTAGATTAAGTAAATGTGTGCCACACAGACATGTGGGAAGAAGAGGTAAAAGTGTATACAAGGCATGTTTGGAGAACTACTATTAGTACAGTATTTCTGGAACATAAAATGTATAAGAGGAGGGAAATGGCGGAAGATGTGTGAACCAGTTGGGTAAAGCCTGTGTGTTGTAACTATATCCGTAGAGCACATCTGAGACCTGTGTCATATTAGCTATCTGTCTTTCCACTGCAGTAGGAGGAGGGCATTCAGTTTGTACTAGTGGCCTGAAGTATCCTTTCCACCTAAGACTTGATTTTGCCAATATTCCAGTGTGGAATTGAACCAGTGTTTGGCTCTTTCTCAACAGCTTCAACTCCGGAGGAGTCTCGGGATGGGAAGAAAGATAAAGAAGGGGACCGGGCGTCTGAGGAAGGCAAGCAGAAAGGCAAGGGCAGCAAACCGTTAATGCCCACCTCCACTATTCTTCGGCTTCTGGCAGAGTTGGTGAGATCCTACGTTGGTATTGCTACCCTGATTGCCAACTACAGCTATACTGTGGGCCAGTCTGAGCTGATCAAAGAGGTAAGATTTCTAATTTCTGCTTAATATTTTATACTGTTATCATTTGGATACCTGCTATGTGTTGGATGTTTTGCTAGGAGCCCGTGCATGCTAACCCAGTGATGAGAGAGGCAGAGGCCTCTTAAGACACATTAAAGAGCTAGGCCTTTTTTTCCATGATGTGGAGCCATCAGGCTCATTTGCAGGTAGTGAGTTGATGTAGTTTGTTAATTTGTTTTGTAGAAAATCACTTGGTCTGCCTTATTAGAGACTGCAAAAGGCAAGGTTTGAGTCAGAGAGACCAGTCAGGACGCTGATATAGTAGTCTAGGTAATACAGGACCTTGATGAAGTTGGTGGGGGAAATGAATGAGTTGAAGAGATGTTTTAACAGTAGAAATGGACGAGATTGGATTTGGAGGATAAAGGTGAAATCAAGGACTCGAGAGATGTTTCTTGTTTTGTTTTTTTTATTCCTTTTGTTAGAAGAGGAAATGGTTTGAAGAGAAAATATAGAATTTGAGAGGTATCTGTGGATCACCTAGGTAAAGGTATCTAGGAGACAGGAGAATAAATGAAGTACACAGTATTGGAGCTTATCTTCCAGATGTACTCACACCTGTGCAAAGACACCTGATGTGGTAACAGTATTGGTAATAAATAGAATATAAGAAAAGCCTAAATGTTCATCAGTAGAGCATGGGAAAGAATGAAGTCATATTTTATATGTCCTGATACAGAATTATCTTCAGGTTGGATTTTTCAAGTGAAAGGACACTTTAAGAAACCATATCATGTTCCCATATATGTAAAAGGGGTACCCAAGGAGGTTTTTTTCATAAAGGAGACCTTGTTTTGGAGGTCACATAGTTATTTTATGGTTAGTAAGCAGTAAAGGGTGTGAGAATGGAACAGGGGCAATAATATTGCAGAAAAAGAACCTATGACAGCAGCTGCCATTTTTTAAGCTATTTTTATCTTAATGCAAGCTTTCAAAATGCATACAAAAATACACAACTCCTAAGTGATTCACCAGTTAATTTTTCTTGGATGACTACCACTAAATTCAACATTAGAAACTCCACAAAAGCTAATCCCACTCACACCTTTGCACATCTCCCCTTCCCCTTTGAACTTCCATAAGGTCACCATTATCTTGTGTTCCTGAATTGGGTTTGTGCTTTATATAAGTGGAATCTTATAGTATGTCCTGTGTCTGGCTTCTTTTGCTTAACATGTTTGCAACTACATCTTTGTGTGTAGTTTTAGTTTATTTTCATTGCTGTATAGAATTCCATTGTGTGAATGTAACACAGTCTTATCCATTCTAGTGCTTATTGACAGTTGGCTAGTTTTCCTTTTGGAAGTATTAAAAGTAGTGCTGCTACAGTCACTCTCATACAAATGTCTTGGTGAACATACATAAGTTCGTGTCTGTGTGTGTATTTATACACACACACTCACACACGTTCATACGTAAGTTCATATATTTCTGTTGGTTGCTATGTGCCTAGGAGTGGAGTTGCTGGTCTGTTCAGCTTTAGCAACTGATAACAAGTTTTCCAGAGCAGTTGTGTCAATTTATATTATCACCAGCACAGCATATGGGTGTTTGGATTATTTCACCTCCATGCCAATACTTAGTATTCCTGTTTTTCATTTTAACCATTCTAGTAGGTTCATACTGGTATTGCATTGTGGTTAAAATTTCCCTGTCTTTATTGGCCATTGGTATATTCTTTTTTGTGAAGTGTCCAAGTCTTTTATTCTTATTTTCTACTGAGTTCTTTATATATTCTGGATATAAGCCCTTTATGGAATGTGTGTATTAAGTATACATTAGGCGTTTATTTCAAAGCTTATACTCATTTATGCCAGTTGTAGTTATAATAGCATACTTATGGAATAAGACACTTAATTGCAAATTTATTAAGTATCTGCTTTAATATGCGTCAAGTCACCCACTTACTGGTACTGGGTACTCATAGGTGCTTTACAGATACTATTGATAATCCTCACCTCAGCACTGCAAGGTTGTTGGTATTGCTCCCCTTAACAGAGAGAAGGCTCAGAGAGGTCAGTAACTTGCCCAAGGCCACACTTCAGAGTAGCAAGACTAGGATTAGAGCCCAGGTCTCTGGTTTCAAATCCAGATTCCTTCCACTCAGTCATGGTTGCACGAATCCACTCAGTTGCCCAAATTGCAAGGCTTTTTTTTTTTCAGTTTTTACTGGTAATGTTACACTTCTTTTCAGAAAACTGTTTTAACTTTGTATTTTATTCACTACTGGGAAATTTTTATTTCTAATAGTTAACAGGGTCACCTTATCTTATTACCCAGAGCCTAGAATTCTTCAATGCATTTTTTAAAAATATTTATTTATTTATTTGGCTGCACCGGGTCTTTGTTGCAGCACACGGGCTCTTTTAGTTGCAGCATGTGGGCTCTTGGTTGCAGCATGCAGGATCTAGTTCCCTGACCAGGGCTCGAACCCAGGCCCCCTGCATTGGGAGCTCGGAGTCTTAACCACTTGACCACCAGGGAGGTCCCTTCAATGCATTTTTTAAATTGAGGTAAAATGCACATAAATCTAAGTATCTTAAAGTATACAGTTGAGCATAATTCAGTGTCGTGCAACCATCATCTCTATCTAGTTCCAAAATCGCCACTGCATTTTGATCCAAAATCTACTTGAATGACAACAGAACTAAGTTTCTTTCTAAGATAAAGAATTATCAGGGCAGAAATCATTTTTAGAGGGGGAGGGAAAGTCTGACTTAATTTCCTTCCCTGTTATTGGGCCTTTTTTGATATTTTAAGTAACCCTGCATTAACTATTTCTGCATATCCATATCTGTGACTGTGCTGTGTGTTTCTCATTCAACCCCTGCCAATTTTTAGCCCAGGGTCCTGGGCACATTGTAGGTTTCAGTAAATACTACAATTTAATTAGAAACTGGAGTGATTGTAGCACTGAATTAGGGATCAAGGTTTGAATCATCGCCATTGACTTAAGTTCTTTGGCAAGCCACATTTCTTTAGGCCTCAGATTAATGAAGATGTGTAAGCTTGTGAAAAATGAATGGAATTTGGAAGCATAAACTCGAGATTTGTTACTCACTTGGCTTGCACCTTTAAGTCTTGGTTCTTTCGTCTATAAAGTGGGCCTGATAATCATTGACTGGATGACTCCAAGGATCAGTTCTGTATGCGTGTACCTTGTTGATGTGCAAACAGTATGGCGTAATTGTGCTTGTGAGTAAATGTCACGATTAATGACTTTTCAGGACTGCAGTGTGCTAGCTTTTGTCCTGGACCACCTCCTCCCACATACCCAGAATGCAGAAGACAAGGATACACCTGCCCTGGCCCGCCTATTCCTCGCAAGCCTGGCTGCCGCAGGGAGTGGCACAGATGCCCAGGTGGCCCTTGTGAATGAAGTAAAAGCAGCCCTGGGAAGGGCACTGGCTATGGCTGAGAGTACAGAGAAACATGCCAGGTAAAATCTGTGCCTGACTTAGTGCTACGTGCCTGACTTAGTGCTAATAACCAGTAGCATCCCCTAACTTCATTCTTGTCCCATGGATTCCTTGCATTTGAACAAGAGTTCTGGTCATACTGGCACTGTACATTCTCTGGTTCTCTCAGATAGTTCTAGCGCTACCAAATACCCAAAGCACTAATGACACTTGGAGGAGGTGGGTAAACGGCTTAGAGAAAACAAAGGGATGTTTTCATTATATTTCTAGGGTCTTCAAGTAAGAAGTTGAGGGGGTTATTCAACTTTACTTTTTCAAATTATGTTTAAAGAAAATGAAGAATGCCTCCACCCAGGGAGTGAGTTCTTTCTTACCTGTTTAGATGTTACTTCCAGAAGGAAACACAGAAGAAACCAGGAGGGTTATCTGAGGCAAGTTAGTGAAGACGTGGCCTAAGAATGGGCTGTATTCACATGATAGAGATGTCAAACTTCTCTCCTAGGCTTCAGGCAGTGATGTGTATCATCAGTACTATCATGGAGTCCTGCCCCTCCACCTCCAGTTTCTACAGCAGTGCAACAGCCAAGACCCAACACAATGGCATGAACAACATCATTCGACTCTTCCTGAAGAAGGGACTGGTTAATGACCTGGCCAGAGTGCCTCACAGCCTGGACCTGTCCAGGTAAAATTATTCCTGACCTCCAGCACCAGGCTTTTGCCCTCTTCTTAATCGTGCTTCATACTTGTCCATTTGCCTAGTATTTCATGTATCCTTGCCAGATAAGTAATTAGCAGCCAGTGTGATAGGAAGAGTTTGGATGTAGGCGGGAACCTGAGTTCTTAGTATTGTTGCTTTTAAGCAAGGCACTTTCCTTTCTTTGGGCCTTAGTTCTCTCATTTGCCGCAAACTCATGAGTTGGTCTGTATCAGTAGTTTTTTCCCAAGCTTCCCCCCTCTTAATTATTGTAAGAAGATTATTATGGACCTTGTATTACACCTGGTTATGTCCTCTGAGTCTCTGTTATTCTAATACAGGTCCTTAATTTTTTTAATCTTCATTTTATTGCTGTTGTTCATGAACGAATTTATTGAAGTGATCAGACCTGTAGAATGTTTTCCTAGATTTGGTCCACTTGGTTCCATGCAGTGTAGTTTAACTTGTTGCTTTTACTCCCTGTTTGCTGTAAGCTTAGAGGTAGAGGCTTAATGGAGCAATTTAAACATTATTTGGCTAGGATATATCATAGATGATGATGTACATTTCATATTGTATCATGGGGAAATGCATCTCTTTGAACTACCATTAATCATGATAAGATTGACCACTAGGGTAGAGTGATAATCATCATTGTACTGTTATATTTTCCTCCTTACCAGAAAATAACAGTGTTATTACTTCAGCACTGTACAAATGTCTAGTTCCCTATCAACCATATACCTAATTAATGGTCTTAATACCAGTTGATAATCCTTGCCTGTGTCTTTTAATTTCTTAGAGGGTTATCGATGACAACTTTGTAATTTCTGTCATTCCTTCTACATTATTAGCTGCTATATTTCTGTGATTCTAGCTCCAGTTCAAGAGGGAAAGTTGGTTACCCTATAATACAGTTCCTACTAAAAAGCCAGGATAAAAACTTAATTTTTTCCCTTCAGTCACCAATTTTCAGAGTAAAGTCAAAAATGGATTAAACTCCACCTCAAATACGAGCTCTGGCTTTCTATTTTCTGTGTAGTATTATGGACTCATGAATTTTCCTTGATTTTTAAAATCTGATTGAATTACTTGGATCACTACAGTTATCCTTCTTTTCATGCTCATCCTTCATGTTCTTTTTCATTACACCTTTGGGCTTGTGGGACCTCTTCAAACTGACTTCTTTGTTCTTTTGATAACAACCTCATCAGTTTTTTTAAATGTTTAAAAATTTTGAGCTCACAGTATAATGAGCACTGTATGTCTCACCTAGATTAACCAGTGGTTAGCATTCTGTCCTATTTGCCTTAGTTCCCCCCGCTCCTCTTTTCGTGAGGTAAATCATTTGAAATTTGTTATAAACGTGATGCTTAACCTCTGAATACTTAAGCATGTGTCTCCTAAGAACAAACATTCCATTACATAGCTAAAATACCGTCATCACCTCTAAGAAGCTTACCATTAATATAATAATACTATGTACTTCATATTCATCTATCTCCAATTATTCCAAGAATGTCTTTATATCCCGGGGGAGAGTGTGTTGATCCAGGATCCAGAGAGCATCATTCACTGCATTTGATTGCCACGTGTCTCTTATTTTTTTGACATTTGACTGTTTTGAAGAGTCCAGAAGGTCGAATGTCTTATAGAACATCCCATAGCCTGGATTTGTCTAATTGCTTACTTATGGTTAGGTTCAGGGTAAATTTTTTTTGGCAAGAATACTACATAGGTGATGTTTGCCTTTCTCAGTGCATCACATCAGGAGACGCATAATGCCACTTGGTCCCATTATTGGGTGATGCTAAGTTTGATCACATAGTTAACGGTTAGAGTTCCACTTTGTATTAACAAATTATCCGTGAGGTGATGCTTTAAGTTCACGTGAAGATCACGTGAATATCCTATGCCCTGAAGATTTTTAACTCAGTAGTTTTAGCATTCACTAGTGGTCTTTACCTAGATCACTTAACATTGCTGGTTGCAGTGATAGTTTTCTGATTCTCTCATTCCTGTTTATTAGCTGGCGTTCTTATATAATGAAGACCTTTTTCTGCCTGCATTTACATCCCTGTGGCTGCAGATTATATTTAATGTGTTATAATCTATTACCATCATTATTCTTTTTGATGCTAAGGTTTGGCCTGTGGTAATGACCCCATTAATTCTTTAAAGCCTTCTTGCTTTTGAAGGCCTTCTGGCACAACAAGATGTCTCAGGCTCACCTTGTACCTTCCATGTCCCATTCCTGGGATCAGTTGTTACTCTGATGAGCCTTGGTTCCTTTTAGTATGGATTTCTGTGCTCAGTTCATCTCTGTATCTTCCTTTATCTCAGTCCCAACATGGCCAACACAGTCAATGCTGCTCTGAAGCCTTTGGAAACACTTTCCCGGATTGTGAACCAGCCCAGTAGCCTTTTTGGCAGCAAGAGTGCTTCTAGCAAGAGCAAGTCTGAGCAGGATGCCCAAGGAGCTGCTCAGGACTCTAATAGCAACCAACAGGATCCAGGTAGGGAATCAGCCAACGGACTGGAGAGCTGGCCGGGTGGGTGTAGTTATTTTATGGGCATGGCATCACAACTGTTCTAGCTTGGTATTGTTTCCCTGGGAACTTGCTGGCCTTCCACAGATCTGTCATAGTGGCGTGGGAATCTGCCCCACAAAGAATTCCTTAAAATTGCAGCCTTATTTGGCTATCCTCACACGTAGCCTTGTCTTTTCCTTTGTCACCCATTCATTTATTCTCTGAGAACTTGTAAATTTGCCCAGGGAAGGGACCTTACTGTCTTACGCTTGTCTCATAGTGCCCTGCACATAGGCACCCTTTGATTATTTTGCTGGTTGGTTGATTGTTTCAGGCGAGCCTGGGGAAGCAGAAGTGCAGGAGGAGGATCATGATGTCACTCAGACAGAGGTGGCAGATGGGGATATCATGGATGGGGAGGCTGAAACCGACTCAGTGGTGATTGCTGGGCAGCCTGAGGTGCTCAGTTCACAAGAGATGCAGGTAGGGAGGCAGCTCACCCAGCATACCCCTGTTGTGGTGCTGAACCAAACCCCCAAGTGGTGTGGGTGGGTGAGTACTTTAGATCCTTGCCTAAATTCATTTGTCTATTTTGCAGAGGAGCACAGATGATAATGCTTAGTAGATGCTCAGTAAATGTGTTTGAATTGTATTAAATGAGGGGTGGGTGCAGAGCCAGGATGCCATATACTATCTATAAAATGGAGTAGATCCCAACAAGAAAACATAGGCACGGGTGAAATGTTGATATAGAAAGCTGGCCTGAGCCCTTTGGGCCTAGGGTCTTTGATTTACTTGGTTCTGGTCATTAATGGACGCTCCTTAACATCACTGTTGTGCCTATAGCACCAGCTCTCACTGGGGCATTCAAATGGCAGTCTTCTACAGACCCTAAAGAAAGCATTGTAATTTCTGGAGCTGGTAGCAATGGTAAGAAATGGGGCCTACAGTCCTGAGCTGCTAGCTCTAAGGAGATCTGCGTGTATTCCTGAAGAGTATAAAGACTTAATCTGGTCTCAGATACCTGGGATGGACCCATTTGAAGGGCAGTCTGAGTGTGGATTGGCAGCATGTGGTAGTTGCTGTGCTCTTAGCACCAAGTGTGTGGTGTTTCTGTAACATCCTCTGTCACATATTATCCTAGAAATATATGCTCCCTTGCTGGCTTTTTTTAGGGTTGAGCACCAGCACAATGATAGACTTGTGTGCATCCATATATATGTTCTATTTCTCTCCAGGTTGAGAATGAGCTGGAGGACCTGATAGATGAGTTGCTTGAGAGGGATGGCGGATCTGGGAACAGTACAATTATAGGTGAGAGCCCCAGAACTGAGTATAGCCTCTTCCTTTGCCTCAGTCTCTCTCGGGAGGACCCTTTTTCTCATCATCTGCTTGCTCAGCTCTGCCTAAGGGCTCATAGCCAGCCTAGATTGCTGCTTGTCTTGATGTTGACAGTCTTACAGATGAGAAATTCACAAGCCATCTACAGACCTGTGGCTGGTCTGAAGTGTTGCCTGTGTGGGGGAGGTGGAGGGGGTGGCCATCAGTATAGATAATACATCAGGCACATCATGGAGGCCTAGAGGAGGCTACAGGCACATCAAGAGAGTTTATTCATGGAGGCCTAGAGGAGGCTATGGAGGCTGTAGGGTGAGAAAGTACTTTCCTTTCAGTTCTTCAGTGAATCCAGGAGCTTTCTGCCTCTAAGTCTCAGTAGTGTAAAAAGAATGATCATTCCCTAAGGATCTTTTACAACTTTTACAGCTGAGTTGTAAAAAAGTTGCTTTTTACAACTCAGGAAAAACAGCAAAGGTACTCTACTGTCACCTGGCTCCAAGGGTATATGTTACTTGTTTTTATTTTATTGATGAAGAAAATCAAAGGATAAACAGAAGTAGACATGTATTCTTAAACTTGACAAGGCTTTTTCACACCCATTATCCTCTGTGGTTTCACAGTTAGTGGGATTGGCAGGGCAGATGTGATCATCCCATTTTACGTATGAGGAAACTGAGACTCAGACAGGTAAAGTGACTGGCCAAGCTCACCTAGCTAGTCAACAGCAGAGACCCCAGGTCTTCCTCATCCAGAAAAATAGTGGATATCTGCTGGGTGTACATAGCTACTTTAGGCCCACCCAATCTGGAAAGGGAAGTCCTCTGTTGTTCAGTGAAGGCTCTGCTCTGTAACCTTCAGTGAGCAGAAGTGGAGAGGATGAATCACAAGAGGACGTGCTGATGGATGAAGCTCCTTCCAACCTCAGCCAAGCTTCCACCTTGCAGGCCAACCGAGAAGGTGAGAGTGCCGAGGCCGGAAAGGCCTCCCTTCTTGCCCTGCACGTCTGACAGACACTATACTAGGGTTTTCCTGGAGGCAGCTGCCCACATGTGCAGAATAAGGAAGCATCTGTCTGCATGCGCTGACATACACCATCCACTTTATCCTCAGCCAGTTTTTCAAATAACATGTTAACTACTGCTTGCCCAAAAGTTTGTCACTTCTTACTTGGTTCGCTTTCTTCTCACCCACCTGCTATCATCGCTCCAGATTCCTTCTTACCAACAGGATGCAGTCAGTAGCAAAGTAGGGCTGGAAAGGCAAGGGGGCACCAACAGACTTGGCCAAGTCCTAGACCATGGCTCCTCAAGCACCACCCTATAGCCAGCCTCCACATCCAGCCGCATGGCTCAGCATATTGATGCATTGGTTGGCACTCTCAGGAAATCGGGGCTGGCTCACTAAGTCTGTACATCACCCCAGATCTGGTTCTTCCTCTCCTAGAGTCAAATACCCCATCGCCTTCCCACTCAATCTGCTGGCCTGCACAGTAGCCTGTTTTCTAGCTACTCAGTATAGTCCTCCAATGTGCTCCCTTTGTTTTAGATTCCATGAATATCCTGGACCCTGAGGATGAGGAGGAGCACACTCAGGAAGAGGACAGCAGTGGCAGTAACGAGGATGAGGATGATAGTCAGGATGAAGAGGAGGAGGAGGAGGAAGATGAGGAAGATGATCAGGTGAGGGGGGACTGTGTTTTGGGTTGGTTCAGACATCCTCTTCCATGGGAACACACAGCTGGAGAAAACCAACAGTCTGGGTTGCTAGCCTCAGCGCCTCCCTCCCTCATGTGCAAATGTGGCCATGACACCAGACTTCAGAAAATCCTTACCTCCAGCAATTCTCCATCTCCTATTTTCCCCTTAAGGAGGATGATGAAGGTGAAGAGGGAGATGAAGACGATGACGACGATGGCTCTGAAATGGAATTGGATGAGGATTACCCTGATATGAACGCTTCTCCCTTGGTCCGATTTGAGCGCTTTGACCGGGAGGATGATCTCATCATTGAGTTTGACAACATGTTCTCCAGTGCTAGTAAGACACAGGGGCTCAGCTGGGTTTTATCTCTTGCTTCTTATACCCTGAACTAGAGCAGCTATCAATCTGATACAGAAAGCACCTCTTTTCTTATGCCAACTTCCTGGGGCAAGGGATATCTGAATCCATCTCTCTCAGTAAGTGTATACCTAGAAGGAGGAACTGTGAGAGGCTCCTTTTGTTCTCTCCACCTCAGTAAACAGGCAGCCAGCCATTTTAGAGCCTGGACAACTTGATGATTTGCTTGAATTAAAAAAAAAGTGAGACCAAGGCTGACTGCATCAGGCACCCATGTGTACGCTACAGTGATAGGGCAATCACTAATCCTTATGTCTGTAACACTGGATCTTGAGAGTTTGGGTAGACACCTTTGAGCTTGGCATTGGGGAGTAGATTTGAACACATTCACTCTGTTCATCAAAAATGCATCTTTTCGGAGGAGAGAGTGAATCTCTTCTCTCTTCCCCCATCAACATCAGAGTTCCCTTTTAGCATCCAGTTCTTAAAACCAAGCTGTCTTGAGAAGGCAGGTCTTTACTCCCAAATCACAAGCATGATATAGCAGAAAACACTGAACTGTTCTGGTCTGTTGTCTTGGCCAAGTAGTCTCTTACCTCTTTGAGCCTCAGTTTGTCACCTTTGAGCCTCAGTTTGTCACCTGTAAATGAAAAATGTGAAAAGAAAAAAAAATGGGGTGGATTACATAATTTTCAAGATACTTTCTATTTTGTGATCTTCTTTGCATTTTTGTGATTTCCATCAATCTTCCTTATTAAGTTGAGCCTCTGTCCATTCGGCAAATTGAACAAATATTTGAGGAGTGCCTACTGTGTCCTAGGTGCTAGGGATACGGCAATAAAAAAGAAAACAATCCTTTTCCCTCATAGGAGCTTATGGTCTATTAGGAATTATGAGTCAGCAGGCATTACATTGTAGTATGGTAAGAAAGCACAGAGTAAAGGGTTTTTAGGCCCATTTGTAGAATCAGAAAAAGTGATATCTAGGCCAAGAACAAAAGTGCAGGTGAAGAAGGGGGAGAGGAGTCGTCAAGGTGGAGAGAACAGCATGTTTCTGAGGGGCCTACAAGCATCACTGTGGCTTAGTATAGAGAATGGATTGGGAGAAAGTACTATTTAGGAGGCTGTCGCAGTATCTAGGTGAGAGATGGTGGCATAAGCCATGGTAGTGTCAGTGATCGTAGATAAGGCATGGGAATGAGGGAGAAAGGACAAAGCTCAGGTTTCCGTGTGAGGAAGTAAGGCCCAGGAGACATGGTTCTGCTTGAACAACCACAGAAGAAATTTCTTTTTGGCACTGACCCCTTCGCATACTGTCCTTGCAGCAGACATCCCCCCATCCCCAGGAAATATCCCTACCACCCACCCACTGATGGTACGCCATGCAGACCACAGTTCCCTGACGCTGGGCAGTGGCTCTTCTACAACGCGTCTCACCCAGGGCATTGGGCGCAGTCAGAGGACCCTGAGGCAGCTGACGGCCAACACAGGCCACACCATTCACGTTCACTACCCTGGGAATCGTCAGCCCAATCCTCCTCTTATACTCCAGAGGTGAGTTACAAGGAAGATTGTTGGGCTCAGTGAGCTTCAGCATTGTCTTGACCTGGGGGGATAATGCTCTTGTCACACACAGATAATGTATTTGTCATGTTTCTTTGTGGATTATATGTGCAGCCTTTGGGAGAATACCAAATTGTATAACATGTTTTTCTGCTTAAGTGTCCTGTACATACAGTCAGCAGTCACTAAGCATCTCATACGCCAAACACTTAGCACTTAAGATATGGTCAGGACAGGATCCCTGCCCTTTAGCTTAGAGTTTCTCCCACTAGGGAGAAACAATTTTAGAAGTGAAAGGAAGGAATATAGTTATCATAATGGTCAATGCACAGACGGTAGTGGGTGTACAAGAGAGATATTATACCCTAACACAGTGCCTGATATTATCAGTGACGCTCACTCTGTTCCAGGAACTATGGAGTAATACGCAACCTTAACCCAAAACAAGTTTGCAAACTGATGGAGTAGTTAGAAAAGTAACTAAGACTTATGTGCAATATGATCAGGTCCATAATAATGTCATGCATTTCGTAGAGGACACAGAAAGGATCTCACAATAACAGTTTGCAGTGTCCCTGTGGATGTACAGTGACCATGGTACCCCACCGTCACCCTACAGGTTGCTTGGTCCCTCTGCTGCTGCTGACATCCTTCAGCTGAGCAGCAGCCTTCCCCTACAAAGCCGAGGCCGGGCCCGCCTCCTAGTGGGCAACGATGACGTCCACATCATCGCCCGGTCTGACGATGAACTACTGGATGACTTTTTCCATGATCAGAGTACAGCTACCAGCCAAGCAGGCAAGTTTATGTGGTGAAAGAGAGGGTAAAGTTTGTCTGGTTCTTTTTCCCTGCTGAGGGAAAGCAGAACAGTATCTGCCCTGCCTGGAGAAATCCCATTTTATAGGAGCCAGAACCACTCGGTGATTTAGCCAAGGGCAATAAAAACCGTATTACATCTGGATACCTATGATGTTGCAAACCTTGTGATAGACATTGGGTCCTGTTAGGGAAATACTGCAATTTTTGGATCAATTGATGCATGACAATGCCAAGAGTCTCACTCTCCTTTGTTTCTCTACAGGGACCCTGTCCAGCATCCCCACAGCCCTGACCCGTTGGACAGAGGAATGCAAAGTTCTTGATGCTGAGAGCATGCATGACTGTGTTTCAGGTGTGTGGCAGTTTGGTTATCAGGGCAGTAGTGAGTCTTCCAGGGCTGGGACAGTGCATGGAAAGTTGTTTCCCTGGTTCTCTGTGGCCCCAAGCTCTGCCTCTTGGCTTTCTCCCCCACCTCCCCTGAGCAGCCTCCGATCTTTGCTTCTTTGGTCCAGTTGTTAAAGTGCCCATTGTCAATCACCTGGAATTCCTGAGGGATGAGGAGCTGGAAGAAAGGCGGGAGAAACGCAGGAAACAACTAGCTGAGGAAGAAACAAAGATAACCGACAAAGGCAAAGAAGATAAGGAGAACAGGGATCAGAGTGCACAGGTGATTCCCAAGAGCTGGGAGGATTCATCTTTGGCTATGTCTGCCTTAACTTACCCACGGTTTTAGCATACATGTGGCTGGCCCCAAGAGTCATTGAAGATTCTAGATGTTCACACTGAAACTGAGAAATGATCCACTTCAAATTCACTGTACACTTGAATGGTTTTTAGGGGAAAAGAAATCAAACCCAGAGGGAAAATTGTTTCTCTGGTGTTTTGCTGGGGAAAACTGGAGCCAGAACCAGCGCAGCTCCTGACTCACCAGTTACACTATACAGTCTCTACTTTCAGTGACTACAGCTAGACAAGAACAATGACCTTGACTAAGCCCATGCTCTTAATGGTTCAATTCTGTTTCGGTGGATTACCTTCTTAAGTGTCAGGGAAACCTTACCAATATGATTCCATTCCAACATTTGAATAAGTTGGGCTTAGGCTTCAGATCAGAGAAAGTGTTCCTACCCTGAACCCCATGACCACATGTCATTTTCTAGGGCTCAATTTGTGAAATCTCTAACATGATTTTGGTTTTTCTGAAACTTCTGGAACCTTGAATAGTATAGCTTTGAAATAAATGAAGTAAATGCTGATAAAAATACGAGGAAACTAAAAAAACTTGAGTGAAAGACTTTATTATACCTCACTCAACAGGGCATCAGATTTAAAAGGATATTGTAATGTTCAATTAATGATAACAAGCTTGATCTAACAAATATCTTTGTATAGAACTTTTGCCTAATAAATAGTAACATTGTTTCAAGCACATGTAAAGGGATAGGAAATAAGCCTGGCATATGATTGAAAAAGCCAGAGTGTACAAAATGAGCTCAAGGAAGGGAAATATATACAGATGAAACTTTTAAGAATTTCTTGCTTGTCTCAACGATTGTGTTCAGGTCATGTCCTATGTCCGAGCCCATCTCCAATGTGGTTTTTATTATCCTTTCCTCTCATTGTTTAGTCACCCCCCTGACAGTTTCTCCCTTGTCCCCAAGCAATCCTTGAGCATGAGTATGTATTAGAGAAATTGGAGGTATGTTTGCATGCTAAAGTGCCCATCTTCCATCCAGGTCATATGTGTCATATGTGGGAGATGGCAACTGTTTTAAAGTTGACCTCTATCTCATGTGCTTGCAAAGTCCCACATTGGTCTGTCCCTTTTCTTTGCAGTGTACTACATCTAAGACAAATGACTCCACTGAACAGAACCTCTCAGGTAACTCTCCCTCCCTTTTCCCCTTCTTGCTAATTGATTGGTTTTTTATCCTGACCCAAATAGCTGGCCCAAGTGGGCTGAAGATGAACACTGGTGCTCTGTGGGATGAGGTAGTAGATTGTATAGTTTTAGGGTCATACCCCATCTTGGAGATAACTATACAGTCTACTGTCTTTCCCACGGTGGTGCACTTTCCCTCCGATGTGCTGTGTTTTTAGGTTCTCATTCTGATTATGCTGTACTGCGTTCTGGCATGTGTAGTGATGCCATGTGTCCTGTCCCCTTTACTGACCCCCATGGTGTGGTGCTTAATGAGAACACCTGATGACAGTGGTTCCTAAATGCTAGTCCTCAGTGGAAATGAACAGAATAAGGGAGGTTTAATGAGTTTTTCAAAAAGCCGAGTTTGTTCAATTTAAAGGACTATTATAAATTACAGAGATATGTATTTCCTACTTTTTTGGTATCAAAATATTTTTATTAAGTGATATTAATGGGATTTTTTTTCTTGGCTAAATTAAAAGTTGGTGATCCTGTGTTAGTCTCTTGTCTCTTTATTTTTTCCTTTTTCTATAAATTTCATGAGTCTGTGGAATCTAAAAGTCTAATAATGTTGCCTTGAGCAATCTGCTTTTGGGGAAGGTAGCTCGGTGGGCTAAATGGTATTACTACTATATGCTTTCTATTTCTCCTAATTTTCCTAACGTCAGTAGCCATTTTGTGATTCTAATAACTGGTCCATATGGTATTATATGTCTCCCCCACCCCTATTTCCTCAGAGCTTTCTTCTGCTTCCCTATACCTTCTGTCTCCTTTGGCACTTGAGTTGGGAAATGATTGTACCAAAGCCTACACAGTATTTTTTAAAGCAGTGAAAGAGGGTAGGTGTCCTGGTGCCCTGAATCTGGTAGAAGGTCTTTGAAAGGGTCTGTCATCAGGTAAAATGGCCTTTTGCCTACTGCCCTTGCTAGAGGATTCTGTTCATGCCGGGGTGAGGTAGTAAGTTGTAT